AGGCGCTTCCGCGAAGTGTTTCGGCGAAGTTATGTGGTTTTAATGTCGGCACAATATGTCATGTCTAACTGAGTGAGTATTTGATCGCTATCGCGCTCAGAATGCCGGCTGGTAGATGCGTCTCTGCGGACGGGTCATCACGTCTCTGCGGATGGGCCTCCGCGTCCCTGTGGATGGGCCTCCGTCTCTCTGCGGATGGGCCTCCGCGTTCCTGCGGATGGGCCTCCGTGTCTCAGCGGATGGGCCTCCGCGTCCCTGCGGATGGGCTATCACGTGTCTGCGGATGGGCCTCCGCGTCTCTGCCTGTGGGCCTCCTCGTCTCTGCGGATGGGCCTCCGTGTCTCAGCGGATGGGCCTCCGCGTCCCTGCGGATGGGCCTCCGCGTCCCTGCGGATGGACCTCCGCGTCCCTGCGCACGGTGTGGTTCGGTGCCGTGGCCTGCTGCAGCGCCAGCAAATGACTGCCGGGATGTGCGACCGGTGCTCGTTAAAACGTTAGGACCCCGCCGAAATTGCCTCACCGCGAGCGGCGAGCTGGCGGCGATGGGTACTCTCCCCGCGAGCTGCCGGGTGTGCTCTCTCCGACTGTGCCCCCTCCCTTCCCTCGCCTCCCCTACTGTCTTTGCCGTTGTTGTGACTCCAGCACCTGTGCGGCTCTGCTCGTCGTCCTTGGAGTGCTGGGCTTGGCTCTCCCCGACCCGGCCGATGTCCGGTGAAGACCCACCCCACTCCGCCCCGCCCGGTGCTGACCAGTGGATGCTGGCGCCGGCCGGGCCGGCCGCCTGCTCGCCTCCACCGCCGCGCCGCGCCCCCGACCGCCGCCGGCCCCTGCATTCGGGACCCGCCGCGCCCCCGGCCGCCGGTCCCGTCCCCTGCAGCTGGGACACGCCGCGGCCTGGTACGCTGCCGCCGGCGTAAGGGCAGTGGATGCCCCGTGTCGGCCAACTCAAACTTTGCGGCCCTAGCGATGGATTAGAAAGAGCACATGCATGACATATAGTCGTAAGGGATTTAGTGCACCTTGAAACGGAATATACGATGCGAGCATTTTTCAGGCAGATCATCTTTTAAACCTCAGAGACTTGTATTTGGAAGTGGGTCTTACAACGACAGGCGCGCCGTGCGTCCGTCTTATTTGGGGCGGCCGCCGGTGATGTGGCGCAGGCCGTCCTTGACGTGACCCGGGAGCGGCCGGCCGCCGGCCTCTGAGGGCGGCCCGGCCGGCACCATGCGCCCGGCGGGGCGCACCTCGGCCGCCCTGAGCGGCGCCGCTCCGGTCAGCGGTCGGTCATGTGGCCGCCGGACGCGCGCGTCTCACCGCCTCTTGTGATGAACTCTGCAGGGCACGTCTGACCGGTGCTCATGGGAGCTTGTTATTGGTGCTGCCGGCACCCGGCGCTCGTCTCCGGGCTGCCAGCTGGCTATTGGTCCTGAAAGGCTGGACAACGTCAATTGAATGCCGCCGTGCGGCAAGTCATATGCGCCGCCCGCCTGTCCGGCCGGCCGGCCTGCCGACTGCTAGCGCCGCGCTGTGAGGCTGGGCTGACGGCAGGGCCGGGTTAGACCGGCGGCAGGGTTAGGGTAGCCTGGCGGCAGAGTCAGGGTAGACTGGCGGCAGAGTCAGGGTAGACTGACAGCAGAGTCGGATTAGGCTGACGGGAGGGTCGGGTTAGAATAGTGGCAGGGTCAGGGTAGACTGGCAGCAGGGTTGGGTCACACTGGCGGCAAGGTCAGGTCAGACTGGCAGCAAGGCCAGGTTAGACTGGCGGCATGGTCAGGTTAGACCGGCGGCAGGGTCGGGTGCGACTGACCCGGTGGTGTGAAGCCGGTCTGACCTGGGGTCGGATTCGCCTGACCTGGCAGCTTTGAGTCAAGTGGCATGGGTCAGCCCATTCCCTCTGCCAAGTCACCTGTCACCAGTTGGCCTGCTCGTAGTGTCGCGTCGTATGTCGCACTGCTCAGTGTCAAGTTGCCTGATGTTCACCCGGTGCAGGTCATGGATTGGGCTGTCCCCGCCACCCTTCAAACGCTGGCTGGGAACAGCCGTGCCTTTTTTGCCCGCGGATGAGGCGCACGCCACTGGCGACGGTTTGAAGGCGTTGCCTGACACTGATAAGTCAAAGCACACGCTAGATCCATGTCATAACTGGACTCAGATGCGGGGTTTCTTTCTGTTTACGGACAGCTGTTTTTGGGTGGAACACGCGACCCGATGTGGGCCCGATGTGGCACAGCTGGAACATACGCCGAGCGCCAGCGCGTGACGTCACCGGCGCCCGTCCGGAGCCGGTCCGATCGTGCTCATCCAACGGCTCACAGACGGCGATTGGAGAGTGTAGAGCGGGCCGGACCGGAAGCTGGGGTGCCTGCCAGGAGCGAGCCGTGTGCCAGCCAGCGCACGCTCATGTGATGTGAGGATGTTCCACGCTCTCGTAAACTGGTCTGCGAAAACACGATTACGCTGGTAAAGGCTTCCATGGCATAACTGGAATGATTGAGATCTGCTTTTAGAAAGACGAGCTGTCGTTCGTTCGGATTATGTTCTCAGTGGGCATTAGTTCTGGCGATTGAGCATACCACAGTGACTCGGGGTCGGTCGTCGGAATGCGTGCTTCCTGTGCAGGAGACAGCACAGTTATTTGCAGCGATGACACGTTTAGGCATGTGGCTTGCCTACCCAATGACCGGTTTCCAGTCGATGACTGTCCGCGCTGTCCATATCATGGTGTCATAAAACACAGTATTCCGAATTGTTTACACCGGCTTCTTTAGGCTCATGACGTGCCGATCGCATCATAAACAACGAACATTGCCAACACACATGAATTATATTCCAAACAGCGCCTGTTGCACGCGCCCATAAGCCGCCACAGAAAGTACCGCTCTGTTTCAGCAGCTGATTTGCGCGGGGTCTTTTCGGCCGCGCATGAGCACGCGCGCGCAGATCGTGGTCCGCGTGGCTTACTAACGTTCATCGGTATGAATAGCATTCTCGCCACACTTAGTTTCAGGGAGGTGAAGGTGCCCGCGAAGTGTAAGGATTTTACTGCGCAGACAATTGGATACTTACAATTACTGTAATGGAGGGCGAGCGGCCGCCGATGGCGTTGTTGTATGGTAACGACCAATTAGCCGATACTTCGGTTACACGTGTGCGGCTTTCTGTTGTCCATGAGCCGTATTGCCTTTGCACGCGTCGCAGTTTACATTTTACCAAGCATGTGATTTGAAAGGGTGAATGGTGTCCGCGCCAAGCGTTCGGACTGAGGCCACGGATGCTCGCGCGTTCTCATGACCGCCGGTCCATTGGGTTCCTAAGCATGCGTCAACGTTCTGAAAACCGTTCGGGGCGCGGTGTTTTCCGAATATGTCTACAAAGCTTTCACAGGAGGGCCGCGGGCAGGCGCGCTGCCGCAGGCACGGAATATTCCTCCCATATACATCCGGCTGGACCGCTAATGTGCTGCAGTGATCGCAGCTGCACTCCGGTGCGCGTCCCGGCATCAAAATAGGATCCTGCTCCCGCCGAAGCCTGCCCCGAGCGCCGCCCCTGATCGGCGACTGTTCGGGCGATTGAGCGGCTTCCGCTCAAAGCCCGCCCTAGTGGACGTGCTGTTGCATGCGCGGCGCGTGGGCGCGTGCTGCGGCGGCCAGCGCGGAGTGGGGACGGCGCGGCCGCGCCGGGTCCGCCGCCGCCGACACGGCTTGGCACTCAGACGGGCGGCGCGCCGGCGCTGGCTGTGCCCGCGGCGGCCGGCGCGGCCCGGCCAAATGGGCCCGGGCTCGTTTCCGCGCACCAGCTGGAACAACAACACCGGCCGAGGTCCGCAGCGATCCAACAGCGCCGCCCAAGACGCGTAGCCTCCTACCCTCGTACGTGCAATCGGAGGCGCTTGCATTGCTGCGACCACACCGGCTCGTTCGCGCCGCTTGCGGCATCGCATGGTCCCCCGTTGACCGGGCCGGACCGGACCGGGCCATGGGACCGTCCGGTCGACCGGCGGACAAGTGTGCGCTGCAGACGCGCCCACAGCTGGCTAGGACTGGCCTGACGGCCGGCACCTGCGGCGGCGCGACAGTGCCCTCCGCCCGGGCGACGAGAACCCGACTCGTCCGGTGACAGGAGGCGGCGGCAGGAGGACCGGTTTGGCGGCTCCTTCCTGCGCTGTAATCAAATGGACAAATCCGGGCTTAATACCTGGTTTTCGTCTGAACAACAACAGCAGTCATCATCAACATATAAATATATCGTTATCAATATCATAAGTAGTTGACGATTTCCAATCCTGAGACATATTTGAGGAGAAGGTGCAAAAGCTGACGCCTAGTCCAGTTACCGTCCCGCGAAGGAGGTGCACGCCGGGTTTTGCCGGGCAGAAGGGGCCGCTGCATGTCCCGCGGCCCCGAACCGACGCTGGTTAGCGCTGTTCGGCCACTGTTCGGTGGCGTTCGCGCTGTGCAGCCCGCTACCGAACAGACTTGCGTCGCACAGACACCAGCGTTTCCCGCCCGCATTGAATGGGCGCGTGGTAACCCCTAGCCCGATAGCATCGGTGTTTCATGGTGTACTACTCACGTGTAAGTGACGTCGACAGCTCTTACGTATGTATGTATGCGCTTTTTGGCTTCACACGCTCTGACCGCCAAACGTTGTCCATTGAACGTGTGGCTGTCAGATTGTCCATTGTCCATTGTGTGACTCGTTCATCAAGCGTGAATTTACAGATACATACAGGCATGCAGCGAACAATGTTTGGCTTCGCGTTTGGCCCATATTTTTGTCATCGAGTCGTTTTCAATGGTCACAAAATGCCTTGTCACTGACTCTGACGTTGCAGCATACTCTGCTGGCCATGTAGTGTCTGTGTGCTGTTGGTGCAGCTGCCGCGCTGTCTGCGTAGCCGCGTGGCCGGCGCGCTGGCCGCAGCAGTGCTCTGTGTGTGTGTGTGCGTCGCTGCGACTGCTCACCGCCGCCGCTCACCGCGCTGTTCTCGCTTTCAGCCGGGCCTGGCGGCCATGGCGCCGGCGGCGCGCCAGCGGCCGGCGGTGGCGGCGCCAGTTCGCAGCCCGCCGACAAGCCCCTGAGCTCGGCCTGGGCGGCGGCGCTCGGCGCCACCACCACCATGCAGAACGGCGAGAAGCCGGGCGAGCCGGCGCGGCGCGCGCCACGCCGCCCGGTCAAGGTGCAGCCCGACCGGCCGCCGCGCGCCCTCTTCTGCCTCGGCCTGAAGAACCCGCTCCGGCAGGCCTGCATTCGCATCGTCGAGTGGAAATATCCTTTTGATGGACGCCGCCGGCGGGGTGTGAAAGCGGGGCTGGTGATGGAGGGAGGGAGGCTGGCTTGGTGGGCTGGGTGAGGGAAGGGCTTCGGGCGCCGCTGATGTAGGAGTGTGGGAGGAGGCTCCGTATCTGAGCAGATATGTCCCATGTCCCACGTTCCATGGAATACGTGGATGTGCGCCGTAACCTATGGCGCCCGAAATTGTCACGCGCGATGAAGACCTCGTGGTTCCGTGCGGCTCGTGCTCAGTATCGATGGTAAACGTTCGCCGGCGGCCCCTGCTAATCCCCACCCGAGGTGCCTCTGTCGCATCGGGCTTAATTTTCCCGCTTTGACTGACCAGAAAATTATGCAGCCCTCCAGAATTATACGAGCCCACTTGACATTCACGCCGCCGGCGTCGCTGTCGCCGTCGCCCCCGCCTTCGCCTCAGCCGCCGGCGCCGCCTCCCGTAGCCGCTTACGTCACCGCCGCGATGGCGGTGTACGCTGCGACCTCATTCTGAGGCAGCGGTGGTGGAGCGGTGGCGGTGGGGGCGTCCCTGGGGATCGGGCCGGCGTCGGTGCGACGGGGCCGACGCAGACGGCGGCGGCGGCGCCAGGAGCGCCAGGAGCGCCAGTCGTGCGGACCGCGCCGGCTGCCGACTTGCCCCGCGCCTTCTCCGCGGAGGCACGCGAGGTGAGCCGGCCGCCGCTGCTCCCGGCTCCGTCGGCCCGTGACTCAGGCGCTCAGAAATACCGGCGCGGCGCGCTGCACGATCGACGAGCGTCGCTGACGACGAGGCGGTGCTCGACGGCCGAGCGGTCGGGCTGACGCCGCCGGACGCGCCGTTCAGAGACGGCGCGCCATCGATCAGGGTCATCACGTGGCGCAGAGTGCCTGCTCCACTTGGCCCCGGACCGGACGAAATGACTTCTGCGCGGCGGCTGTTACGGCGCGTGACGCCGAACCCCGGCGTGGCGCGTGCCGACGTGCGCGGCTGGGCCCGGTGGCCGTCTAGCCGCGCCGCCGGCTGCGAACGGCGGCCGCGCTGTCAGCCGGCGGCGGCTGCGGGGCGTCTCGCCGCCGCCGCCGGCTCGGAATGAGGCCTGGCGACAGCGGCGGCCGCTCCAGAGCCGACCGGCGTCGGCCGAGTGGATGCCGGTCCTGGCACGCCACGCCGCCGCGCCGGCTGCTCCGCCGCCCCGCCGCTCGGCCCCGCCTCGCCCGCCCGCCGCTCCGCGCAGCGAGGCCCCGCCGTCGGCCGGACCTGAGAGCCGGGCTGATGTTGCGTGCCAGACGCGTGGGCAGACGGACACCTGCAGACATGCGAATGGGCTGGGAGTGCTGCCGCGTGACGGACGCGGAGACGTGCGGCGCGGCTCTGTCACGTGCTCGCGGAGCAGAGCGGCCAGCCGGCCGGACGGCACGCCGGCGACTGCCAGCCTTGTCCGAAACCAGCACAGCTGGTGACGAAGTGCGCTGAGCAACCAATCCACACTCTGACAAAGGAGCCTCGGGCACGCCTCTCCGCGCTGGGGACGGGACCGTGACGCACAGATTCAGAGCTCGGCGCCGCCGGCCGGCCGGCCTCCGGTCGCATGTTCGCCGCCCCGCGCGCGCCTGCCCCCCCCCCCCCCTCCCCTCCGCCCTCCCCCTCCGCCACCTGGCCAGACCTGCCGTCGGGTGGCCAGCCGGGAGGTCGCTGCCAGCTGGGTGGCTCCGCCGGCCGGCCGGTCGCCGCAGACCGGTTTTAGTCGGAGTCAGGCCGGTTCTGCTGGCCGCTCCGGCGTGGCCACAGCCGGGCCGCGGGCTCGTCAGCGGGCCAACCTCCGCCTGCCATCCATTGTCGACACAAGTTTCCCAAAAAGGCAGCATCGTCTTTTCTGTGGGCAGTTCCAAACTGGAAGGAAAACGCGGACCAACGTGTTTTTGCCATTATGTCCTCACGTCTTATTGCGTCTCCCCTTAATTAAACTAGTTCTCATATCTTGATTTATGGTACAGTGTTTTGTGCGAAACACTGCAGACCGTAAACTTGAAATATGCAGATCAGAATCAGAATCAGAACGCAGTCTGTGTATGAGTGTGGGACGGCGCGCCGCCGCTGTCGCGGGTATTGTTCGCGTCTGGGTACAGTGTTTTTGCACCGCCGCTGGCGGAGCCCTTTCCATGTACAGCGCTTTGTGAGCGGGCCCAATTACACAGGTGTGCGCCGGTGGGGCTAACAATGCGCTCGTCTGCGTCTGCGTCTCATTACGCGCCGGCCGGCCGAGCGAGCCCAGCTGCGAGCGGCGCAGCGGCGCTGCTGGGTCCGGGCGGTGCCGCCTGCAGGCTCGCGGGCGGCGCTGCTGGGTCCGGGCGGCGCCGGCTGCAAGCTCGCGGGCGGCGCTGCTGGTCCGGGTGCCGCCGGCTGCAAGCTCGCGGGCGGCGCTGCTGGGTCCGAGCGCCGCCGGCTGCAGGACCGCAGGCAGCGCGAGGCGACCGCGGCTAGGGCGCGACTCAGTTGTGTCAGGCGGCGGTGTCTGCGGCTTAACGATAAACTTGGCAACGGTTAAGCGAACACTGATGTTGAAAGATAGATTCTTGGTAACATTGGAGCACAACGCAGGAATTATTGAGTTCATGAGTTGCACAAATGCAGTTGAAAACGTGAAGTGCTGACAGCAGAAGCAATGGTGAATATGTCTCATCTGCAGGGTCTGTTCACCGCGGTTTCTGGCCACCACCGCCCTGGGGCAGTGACTACCTCGGCATCCCGAACCGACCTCTCGCAGACTGTCCGTACCGTCGCCGCCAGGAACCGCGGTGTGCAGAGGCGCCCACAGGGAGGGGCGGGGAACGGCGCAGTCACCATGGAATCAGTACAATGAGTGGGATGGAGCTACGCATGCCCATGCTTGTCAAGTCTCCGCGGGCGCGGCCTTTGGCCCTGCGAAGTGAACGTGTCTGGGCGTCCTTAGTCCGGTACGTAGTGAAGCGGCCAGCAGAGCCAGCGTGTGTTGCTGAGCCCGCCAGCCTACACGGCTCCGCGGCAAAAATTTCCCGACGACGCTGAAGAACTACTCGCGTGGAAAGAGCCAAGCTGGTGGAGCACCCTCGCGGCGCGACGTCTGCCCGACTCCCCACGACGCGTCGTTTTCAAAACCTGCTGTTAGAACAGCTGATCTGTCTGCCAGCGCCCTTGCTGGCTGCGCCCCTGTACTGCCCTACGCCGGACACACGTCTGCCTCTGGTACCAGCGGCCCACGAATGGCCGGCCGATGGTAGAGGCGAGCCGGACCGACCGTGGCGGCCGGGGCGAGCGGGCACAGACCGGCCGAAACCAGGAACCTGGCGGAGGAATGCTCGGTGTGAGACCAATCCTTCCGTAGCTCATTTATCACGACTCCGTGCTTTAAACCACGTTTGTGCTGCTAAGTCATGAATTGAAAAGTGCCTGCAGCATATTTCAGTGTCATGGAGCACAGCGACTGCAAGATCAGTTGCCGCCAGGCTGCCGACGAGCCCTGCTCGGAACCAAATACTTTACCGTCCGGCATCGACCGGTCTAGATGTAGCGGCGGTTTGTCATGAGACACAGTCGCTGCACCCGTGGTGTAGGGTCGGTGACGCTGCACCCCTGGTGGAGGATCAGTGGCACTGCACCCCTGGCGCAGAATCAGTGGCGCTGCACCCCTGGTGTAGGATCAGTGGTGTTGCACCCCTGGTGTAAGGTCGACGGTGTCCACCCTGGTGTAGTGTCAGTGATGCTACACCCCTGGTATAGGGTCAGTGACGCTGCACCCCTGGTATAGGGTCATTGACGCTACACCCCTGGTATAGGGTCATTGGCGCTGCATCGCTGGTATAGGGTGGGTGTTGCTGCACCCCTGGTGTAGGGTCAGTGGCACTGCACCCCTGGTGTAGGATCGTTGGCACTGCACCCCTAGTGTATGGCGGGTGGTTCTCCACCCCTGGTGTAGGGTCAGTGGCTCTGCACCCCTGGTGGAGGATCAGCGGCGCTGTACCCCTGGTGTAGGGTCGCTGGTGCTTTACCCCTGGTATAGGGTCAGTTGCACCCCTGGTGTAGGGTCAGTGACGCTGTACCCCTGGTGTAGGGTCAGTGCCGCAGACCCGACAGAAGCGCTCGCCACGTGCGGTGTAGCCTCCCCTTATTGGTCACTGACCGGGTGTTTGTCAGCAGTTTGGGACCTCGTCGGTCCCGTGGTTGCTCGTTGGGTAGTGTATGGCCAGTCGGGCGCTGAAATGGCGCCACATTTGGCCCAGTGGGACCCGAATGTTCGTACCTCCAAGGTGCTATATAACCGAGTTGTGTGCTTTTCATTCGTTGCGTGTGCAGCATATCAGAATTGATTTTCAGCGGTTCATTCCGCCAATAAAGGCGTAAAAACTAAACCGTATCAAGGACAGGAATCAGTAGTAGCTTGTGGGATATTGAAATGCTTCCAACATTGGCATGTGAGATGACTGCTCTATCGCCTGCAGGGTTATAGGATTAAAAATGTCATCGATTCTCGCGTAATGCATGACATTGCTAACGCGTGTGAGTTTTGAATTCACCTATGTAACCTGAATTGAATACCCATGGCACCAGACGGGTTTTGTCGTTAATTTTCGGTTCAATTTGACGTCGCCGGCGAATTCGTTAAATTCTGCATCATTTTTGGGTGCCAGAATGTTTAAGCGGGTGTTTTAAACGCCGGTTGACGCCGGTTAACACTATTAACAGCAAACGAAAGTCAAGAACGAAATCGCACGCTAAAAGCGAACAGCGCTAATCGACAGTTCGACAGTTTTTAACAGTGCATTGCCTAAAATTAAGCCATGTGAACACATTTGTATACACATTTTTGTACATCTCATGGTACATATACATTCTGCGAGGTGAAATTTAGAATCGTTCTTATTGTAGGACATGGGTCGCTGCATTGCCAATGTGATCGGCCGGTGTTAGTGGGCCTGGTTTCTTGCATGACTCCCTTGGTTTCCGGTCCCGGCTGTCCAGCTGACCGCGGAACCCAGGGAATAATGAACTCACAGTAAGCGGATTTTCTTGGGTATTGATTATCACCCAATCACCGTCGTGTTAACGATCTCCGTGACTTCCAGGTAAATCTCACACGTAGTTAAACAGTCATGCTTCCATGTTGCGTTTCGCTCCGTTTGCCCGCTTGCCCTAGGCTTTTGGTCTGTCACAGTCCCTTCGTGCCCTTTTGTCAATTTTTATGTCTTCCAGTGCTTTGGAACCTGTAACCGCTCACACTCATGCCATTAACTAACTGTCTAGCATCGTAACGTGCGCTATCAATCTTTATCTAATCACGGTGCGACCCATGCAAAGTCAATTTCTGCCAGCGATGGCGCGCGCAAAATTTCACCGTTAAAATTGCTTATGGATACATCATTAAACAGTTCGTAGGATTGTCCAGATCTCGGGCTGCCCATCTTCTGTGTCCGTCGGTTCGGAGTCACCCCTTTAAAGGCGCACGACACGTTCGCCTCTGGCCTTTTACGTCGCTGGTCCCGTGGCAGCGCGGAAAGTGACGTGACGGCTCTTCCGTGACACCCTCGCGACGGCGTCACCGTCGTCGGCGAGCCGGCCGGGCCGACTTGATTTGCCGTCGGCTGCGACGGGCGGGACTCGCCTGGCGGCTGATTGGTTTTCCAAGCTGGCGTGTCCGGTCGATGGCACGCGCCGCGAGCCGCGACCCCGGCGTCGAGGTCGCGTCACCAGCGGGGGGGCAACGAGCTCGCCACCCGTGCGCGGCCCGCCGGCAGCTGCTGACGAGGCCGGCCGTCGCGTGGCGTCGCTGGCGCGCGGCTCGTGCGTCGCGCCGCCGCCGTCCGATGACAGCTCTCGTTCTGCCCGTCTCTCGCGTGTTCTGCTGGCGTCTCGTTGGGCCGCCGACGCTGGCGCTGGTCTGGCCCGGCGTGCGTGCGCCCCGCCAGGCCGGCGGTAGCGAGCCGGGCCGCCGACACAGCGCCGGCGGCCGGTCGGTCACAGACCGGCGTGTTTACTGTCCGTCTGCGTCGGCGGTCGGCCCGAGCCAGGCGGCGTCGTCCAAATAAAAAGCCAAACGGTGCCGCGGGCGGGCGCGACGGAGCGACGGTGGCCGGCCTGTTGCTCGGCCTGGGCCGCGCCGCTGGTCCGCCCCTGGCCCCCCGGCATCGATCGGGAGCTGCGGGCTCGACGCTCATCAGCGGCCGTATCACGCCGCCCACACCTGATACGGCACACGCGGCCCCGTCGCCACCAGCCGCTCCGTCCGGTGCTGGCGCCGCCGGAGCGTCCGCAGTGTCCAGCGCCGAGACCGTGTGCGCGGGCAGACTGGTCCCCGCGACCGTGTGCGTGGGCAGACTGGTCCCCGCGACCGTGTGCGCGGGCAGACGGTCCCCGCGCACGGATCCACACTGACCTTGTTTGTCTGCCGTTTGCTGCGGCGGCGTCGATAGGTCGATCGGAAGCTGGAATATGATGGGCTTGAAACGCATTGCTGGTGCCGCCCATCGATAGGTTTTGTTTGAAGAGTGCCTTCAGCCGGCTAGTGAGATGCGCGTCGTGTTTTCTCCGTGCTCCCGCTCCATCACCGCGCCCCGTACCGAAACGTACTTATAAACAGGCAATCTCTAATGAGCGCCACATAGTCATGTACTAAGCACGCAATAAGCTGGTTGGTTAGAGCCGTTTATGATGGAGCGTCAGCCGTCTCGGCGAGAGACCACTGGTGCAATCCCTGGTGCAATCCCTGAGAGACTCAGGCAGGAGCTGTCTGAGAGCTCTTCACAGTTACAATAGATATATACCCATTTTACGATCTGTTTTTAGGAACTAGAGGCTGTCCATCCCTCAACCAGTGTGCCCCGCATCTCCATCTGCCGGTTGATTGCTGGATCTTTGTCTTGGATTTACACACCCTCCAGCACTTTCCGGTTAACTTTTTGCATACACTTGGCCAGTTTGGTGATATTTTCCGCCAATTCGCATCGGAACAGTGTCCTTCCATAAGCTAATGACATATGCCGATTTGGCGCACCGTCTCGGAGGTGTATCGTCATCCGCTTATGTTGTCGGCGTTTGCTGGGAAGCAATGTATTTGTATTATATCGCGGCTAGTCTTCTAATCAGCCTCGTATGCAATTGACATCCTGCCCTGGCGATGCAGTTCAACTTCAGCTCTTACTACTTCTTCATTTGCTTCTTCATCGCGCGAATGGAAGATTTTGTGGAGCTGCCAAAAGATCTGATTGTCGATATCAGCGAGGTTGTTCGCGATATATCAAGAAACTGCTTCCCAACAAATGCCGACGACATGTAGCTAGCAATTTACCACAAAAGTCCCAGCATATCGAACCTAATTATGAAGAACAATTGGGCAACAAATAACCCACTGCTGAAAATGGCCAACGAGTTAATGTCGGCCTAATGCTGGTCCGAAATGATCTACGGGCTTAAACGCCCTATCGACGACTGCGCACGTTGACCAAACTCGTACATCGTCCAGGCTGCAACCCAACTACCAAGGCGGATGACGACGTACCTCCAGGTCGGTGCGCCAAAGCGGCATGTGACGTCAGCTCATACATAGCTCCAATAACACTGTTTCGATGCCGCTGGCTAAATGTATGCAAAAATTTAGACTGAAAGTGCTGGAAGCTGCTTATATCCGGGACAAAGATCCAGCAATCCGCTGGCAGATTGAGACTCGGGGCACCCTGGTTGTGGGATGGGCAGCACTCGTTCCACAAATAGATCGTAATTGGAGGGGAGGGGGGGGGGTCAAAACCGGGTAAAGACTTAACCAGTGTTCGGCATCACACGGGGTGCTCTTTAGTTCTTTACATGATAACGTCTTTTTTCATAAACCAAATAACCAATTTTGAGCTAGGAAAATGACGAAATGTAATTTTGAACCGACGCGACTACGAATGTTTGGCATATCGCTATATGTGGTTGTGCCTATATCGTCTGGTGATGCTGGCAGAACCAATGAAACGTTACGAAATTGTGGGATCGATTTATTCGGAAAATTGAAAAATTATCTAACAAGTAAGCCAATGTCAATATTGTATATGCTTGTATATATATATATATATATATATATATATATATATATATATATATATATATGCCCACATAGCGAATTGATTTTGCTTTGCCGAGGTGCCGTGAATGGATTATGTGTGCATGTCACTTTTGAGAAACTTCCCTCTATTTCCCGCGATAAAAGTCCAAAACATCAAGTACCAACCACCTGGTGTGGAATATCCCACGACCCCGTAGCCGGTCCTCGGTGCAGCCGGCCCACTGCGTGGCAGCTGTCCTGGCCCTGGCTGTGCCGTCCGCGCGCGCAGCTGCCATTGCCCGGCGGACGCTGGGGTGGGGGTCAGGTCAGGTTAGGTCAGGTTACGGGGCCGGCGCTGTGCCCCGGCAGCCAAGCGGCGTGGCGACACGTGCCGAAGCCCGACGTCCGCCGGACTGCGGGCAACGAGGCGCGGCGTGGCGTACCACATCCGCTGCCCCGCAACAAGATCAGCACACGGCTGTGGAGGGAGAGGGAGAGAGAGAGAGAGAGAGAGAGAGAGAGAGAGAGAGAGAGAGAGAGAGAGAGAGAGAGAGAGAGAGAGAGAGAGAGAGAGAGAGAGAGAGAGGAGAGAGAGAGAGAGAGAGGAGAGGAGAGGGAGAGGGAGAGGAGAGGGAGAGGGAGAGGGAGAGGGAGAGGGAGAGGGAGAGGGAGAGGGAGAGGGAGAGGGAGAGGGAGAGGGAGAGGGAGAGGGAGAGGAGAGGGAGAGGGAGAGGGAGAGGGAGAGGGAGAGGGAGAGGGAGAGGAGAGGGAGAGGGAGAGGGAGAGGGAGAGGGAGAGGGAGAGGGAGGGAGGGAGAGCGGGGGAGGAGGTGTGTGGTACTCGTCATGCGTCATTACGTCGACAAGTGTGCGGTGGATCCAATTATCATGTGTCGGCTGCCAACATATGTGTTTTGCGCGTGGAGGTTGATGACCACCAGCTGCGAGCCATTGACCACCTCCGATGTACGACGTGCCCGTCATTGTCTTGAAATATGCATCCCCGCAGCACATCTATCGTCGTGTTGGCGATATCGCTCGAAAACGCACCCTCATACGTACACGCAATCACTTTATCGACTATGGTTCTGCTGCATTCCGAGTAGTGGAAGATCCCTGTCCGAACTACTTTCATCACGACGCCAAAGTTTGTAGCCGTCTGAAGAGCTCGCTCCGGTGGGCCGGCTAGCGCGCAGTTAGCGCGGCGCCCGATTGACCCCGGCCGCCGGCGGGGCGGCCGGTGACGTCATGGAGCGGGCTGGCTGAGATGCCACGCCGTCCAGCCAGCTGCAAACTGTGGCCTGACCTGACCGCAGCGGTGAACCTTTCCGACGAGTTCAGGCTCGCTTCGAGCGATGCGTGTCTGCACCTCGTTCGCCGTCAAGTGGCCGTTCAAGTGTCTCATGTCGTGTGAGGGGTGCTGACGTTCGTGCCGACCCGCGAGACGGTCCGCCTGTGCCTGCGTGTGTTAGCCGTCGTGATGTTGCGTAGTGTTTCGTACTGAGGAGGGCGCTTCCTTAACCGCTGTGCTCACGCCGTTCGAGACGCTCATCCTGCTGACGATCTTCGCTAACTGCGCGGCGCTGGCCGTGTACACGCCGTATCCCAACGGCGACTCCAACAACACCAACTCGATCCTGGTGAGTGCGCGCTCCGTCTCGGACGCCCCCCCCCCCCTCCGTGTGGTGGATCTGGTCAGTCGGACGAGCTGCCCCCCTCCCCCCCCCCCGCCGTGTAGTGAGTCTGGTCAGTGGGACGAGCTGGGCTGGCTGCACGGCGTGGATGCCGTCACCGGTGAGGCTTTGTATCTCTTCAGGGAGCCGTTGCTGCCTCCCCCAGTCCCTTCACCTCCCACCCCGGCCTTCCGTCTCCCTCCCATATTTTCGTTGCATCGATGTGAGTCCCAAATCACTAGAATCACTAACAAGTCTCTGAAAAACACCGGAAGGAGACTAGAAACAGCGATTAACGTAGTTGTTTTGGAGAATTACAGTATCCGCCCCGCCCCCCCTCACACAGCCCCAGTGCCTGTTGCGGAATTCCGCTGACGTGAGCTGCTAATTCGATGGACGTTGTGTGCCTGTTTAGAGGCCAGGATTCCGAACAGGCCGTGTTTGCGCCGCTCTGTGAGATGATGCATGTGCGTGCGCGCGCATGCATGCTGCACGGTGGGGCGCTAAGTTCCCGCCTCAGTCCCAGCACGCGAGAGCGTGCAGGCGCTTTGATTCTGCGAGTCGTGTGGCTGGTGTCGTGTGCAACTCAGCAGGTCGTGTACCTCTCCCTCTGGGGGGGGGGGGGGGGCGACGACCTCGCATTCTTGTCTGGCTCGGCCTGTCATTCGTAAAACGTACGTCACACTACGTGATGATGTCCGAGACGTAGACCAGGCGATACACTTAGCAGCGTGATGTGATTGATTACGGGCCGCAAAGCTCATTGCGGTCCATGACGAGACCTGAAGGGGATTGGGTTAGTGTCATGGGTGACATTAGCCAGCGACATAGACAGATCGGGTCATGGCCGTCGCGGTTTTCTCCTCTCATCGTGCGCCATAATGGCATTAATATCACTTCTGTGGGTTACAATGGCCGCTCATCTCATGTCCCAAACTAATGCAAGCCTAACATGGTTATGCCAACGCGTCCCAGTTCGAATTAGGAGTGACTGTCGACCATTTCGGCGTCCTGGGACTTAAGCACGCATTTTTCTGTCGCCAAGCAGCCGTGTCCACCCAGGAGTGCGGTCCTCTCCCCCCTTGGGCAGCTGTTGGAGCCTTGGCCGGGCCGCCTCGCGCGCGCTCGCCCGTCGCCCAGCCGTCCTCGCTGCGCCCGGCCGCTCCGTCCGTGCTGCAGTGGTGCTGGCCCGCTCGGTGCCAGCGCCGCTGGAGGGCTGCCAGCAGGGGGCGGGGCCGAACTGGGGCCGCCACGCCTCGCCAGTCAGCGGGATGTGCACGGACAGGGGCCGGCCGGTGGTCTGCCAGGCGGTCTGGACGGACCGGCACAGCGGGGGGTCCGCAGGCGGTCTGGACGGACCGGCACCGGCGGTGGTCCACAGGCGGTCTGGACGGACGGCACCGGCCGGCGGTCTGAGCTGACCGGGACCGGCTGCGGCCTCGTCTCCGGTCTCCAGCTGGAGTCCAGCGTGTGTTCAGCCGTGTCGGGATCCAGAGCAGTCGCTTGTGGCCCGGCCGTCGTGGCCGGTTGCCGGTAGCAGCCTGCACGCGATCAGGTGTTGACACGCCTCTCGCATTAGAGCCGGAGCGGCTGCCGGTGGGTGGCCGTGCTGCGCCCCCCCCCACCCCCCCCTCCATTTCCCGCTGCGCTGTGGTCGCTCAGGTGCCAGCAGCTACCGGCGGCGGACGCTCTCTCGCGCGGCGTTCAACGTGCCCGTAGCTGTGCTCGAAATGCTCGTGCCTCGGCCACGGGAGACGGGTGGAGGTGCCTGCTGTGACGCGTCGGGCCAGGCAGGGATGCGTCGCGGGACCGTCTGTAGTATGCCGCGGACGAGGTCTCGGCAGAGGCGGCTGGAGTCCTAGAGAGCATTTCAAGTGACGAGAACGTGTGCCTTGTTTCCGCACGTGGTGTGCCTTGGCCTAATCGGCGTCGGGGTGAACTAGTCGGCCGTTAGATTAGATAAGGTAAGACACTGCTTAAGGAAAATTTCACAAGTGTGTGATTTATGAAAGGTAGCTATACGGGTCACAACTGTTTCGCCAGGACAGTTCCATTTCATAACTATACCAGGTATATTCAGTACATTCTGGGAATCCTCGACTCCCGCACCAACTATCCCACCGAGTGCCCAAGAATGCAGCGCTTGTGCGATTCTCCACCTGGACGCCTCGCGCACGGGGTCCCACGGGGACTGCCCCGCAGGATTCCCCACGGGGACGCTGCTGTGGCGCGGCCGGGCCGACTGCTGCGCGCTCGCTTGGCCAGCTGGCAGTGGACAGGGCGCGGGTGAGGGCCGAAGCGCCAGCTAGCGCGGGCTGAAGTGGAGCGCCGCCGGTCGGGCCGGCCGAGCTGTCCTCGTCCGGCTCCCGTCGGCCGCCGGTCTCAATACTTGATGGGCCGGCCGGCGGCGGCGCTAGCCGTCACCGACCGGCCCGACTGCGCCCCGGTGGCCGCTCGCCCCCCGTGTTGGACGTGCGACGGTGGCTGCCGAGGGCTGTCTCCTGTGTGGTAGAGCCGCGACGTCGCTGCCGGCGTAAGCTGCCGCTGGCGAGGGCGTGGTGGCGCTCTGCACCAGCGGTAGGCCTGGCTTTCGGTCGGCTGTGCCGACCGAAAGCCAAAAATACAACAAAGGCTGACAAGGAGGCAGCCGTGCCCGCGCGTCGCGCTCGGCTTGCGTGCAGCTGTACCCACGTTTCGTGCGCTGCGTGCGTGCTGGTGGATGTGCTTGATCTTGCTCGTTGCCGTGGTGTTTCCTTTTGATGGCCGACTGAAAGGACTGACAGAGGCGCCGCTCTTCCCGGTGTAGGGCCGTAGCGTCACATAATGACACGGTGGGACGTCATTGCTGGGCTGAAAGGCATTCCAGTAAAGTCAGAGTTCGTGTTTCTAGCGCCGCTCTCTGCCGCCGATAGAGGAAGTAATTGAGGAGGCTTTCAGACGTCAGGGATCGTTACAAGGAGAAGTCACTCGGCTTAGAGATGTGTTATCCACGGCCATGATTGGTCTTTCCGAGGCTGACCGTGCGCGGCCGGCGGTCATCCCCTTGCGCCCGCGTCCCGCCAGGTCGGCCGTGCGCCGCCGGCGGTCATCCTCTGGCGCCCGCGTCCCGCCAGGTCGACCGTGTGCCGCCGGCGGTCATCCTCTGGCGCCCGCGTCCCGCCAGGTCGGCCGTGCGCCGCCGGCGGTCATCCTCTGGCGCCCGCGTCCCGCCAGGTCGGCCGTGCGCCGCCGGCGGTCATCCTCTGGCGCCCGCGTCCCGCCAGGTCGGCCGTGCGCCGCCGGCGGTCATCCTCTGGCGCCCGCGTCCCGCCAGGTCGGCCGTGCGCCGCCGGCGGTCATCCTCTGGCGTCCGCGTCCCGCCAGGTCGACCGCGCTCACGCCGGAGGGCGGCCGGCCGGGTCTCTCGTGCATGACCGGCGCCGCCGGCCGTCGGAGAAAGGTCAGCCAGGGGCGGCCTGAGCCGCGCGCTGGCACGCCATCTGGTGACCGGCCGGACGCTGCTGCCGGCCAGCGGCGCGCCGTTGCTAGGTGGACTTGACCTCGGCGGCCGGGCTTCGTTGGGCCGGTGGGCCAACGCCGGACCAGGCGGGGACGACGCCCGCCCAGCCTCCGAGCCGACCTCCGCTGCTTGTAACGGGCTGTCCTGCGGCCTTGTACGGCGTTCCTCGTACGCCCGTGTCCTTTTGCCCTTGAGATCCACCGATCCTCGTTATTACTCATCGTAATTTGTCTTGTTAGGCCCTCGGCGTTCATAACCAGAGGTGACCGCAGTGTCGCTGGCTGGGGCGGCGTTATCCCGCGACTTGGGGGATCATTCTTCAGTGGCTGGCGGCCTCTGGACAGGACCCGGCCGAGTAAGAACTAGCGAAATGAGATGGGGACCAAGGACCCTCACCTGTATTGAGAAGCGCCATCGTGCTGGCATTTGCATTAACACCTGCACTGACGCAGATGGAGATGAGTGTAGGTACTTGTTTTTCACGTGTTAGGGAAAACTGCTCTTTGCGGTCGCGTGAGCCGCAAATAGCTCAGACCAATATGAAAGCCGCTCAAATGCTTAGGCTCATATTCGTTACGCGATCACCAGTATACTGCGCACTCAGCTGCAGCCGCACGCAAAGGGCATTGTCAAAATAGGTCTGCCCGCTTCGCCTATAGCATGTGGATGGCCATATACCGGAACGTAAAGGCACGAATCATGTGGAAGAAAGCAGAGAGACGGCCCAGAAAGCACCACCAGTCCGATGAAACGGCGCGCGGTGGATTTGTAGTCAGGAGTACTGAATAAATAAGAGCTTGGACAGGAGCGAAGGTGACACCCATGTTCCTCTTCATTAGGTTATGTAGATGGAAGGTAAAGAGAAAAATTGAACTATGGAGTTGCCTGTGAAAGACGTTATAAATGTAAAGACATAAGAAGAGAGTTAGTAAAGACGTTAGTTAAAGCGTGATTTTTGGATGGAGCCCATCCTTAGTTCTGTGATTGAGCCGCGCGCGTCTTGGGCAGAGATGTAAATACTAATGTCCATGTAGTCTCTGTCACTCTGTAACGATGGCTGAGAGTTTTATGGTGCAGCAACTTCAAATGGTCATACAGCGCCCAGACTCTCAATCTGCAAGAAAGGCTGAGAACGTCTTGGATCTTGTTATTGTTGTGAGCATCGGACATATGATTATAGTTTAAGTTCAGTTCAAATAGTTTTGTATGAGACAGTTTTAAGCACTTCGTCAGCGTTTTGATGCGATGTCACAGCCCTGGCAGTCCTTCCCTTGGCCGTTAGCATTACGTTCACCATATGTAGTGATGTCATACCGTCGCACCGGTCCTTCCCTCGGATGAGGTTACCCAGCTGTAAAGAATACGTCATGTTCCGTTGAATCTGGGAAGTAAAGGGCCCCCCACGCTAGCACATCAGGTCCGATGTATTCTTCCGCGAACAGATCTGAAACATCAAGTGAAGCAGTGAGGAGCGAGGGGTCACGACATCCAGACTGTATAACAACTTGCCCTCAACTCTCAAACATGAATCGCATCGCTAGCCCCACTTCGTGGGAAGCCGGCGCACTCAGTACCACCAGCTGGGCGCAGCCATGGGTACCCTCGCCGCCCCCGCTGCCGCTCCGCCGGCCTGCCGGCCCGGCCCGAGCGGCGGCGGCGGCCGCTGCTGGGCCCGCTCGGCCCGGTCGGGCCGTGCGCCCAGCCGATCCCAGCCGGCCAGCCGGATGTTGGCGTTACGCGCAGGAAATGAGCGTCATTGCCGGCCCCGGAGCCTGCGTCGCATGGCCGCCGCCACTTGGCGCCGCATGGCCGCCGCCGTCGGGCTCGGCTGGCGATGGGGGCAGCCCGGCCGGCTCTCCTCCGACCCGCAGCGTGACCGGTCTGACCCCGGTCTGACCTGTGACCTCTGTCTGATTATGACGCCGACCAGGCCTGTGACCCCGGTCTGACTCGTGACCCCGGCCTGACTGTAACCCCGCCAGACCTGTGACCTCGATTTGACCTGTGGCCCGGTCAAACCTGTGACCCCGGTCTGACCTGTGACCCCGGTCTGATTAAGGTCACGGACTGACCTGTGACCCCGTCTGATTGTGACTCGCGTCGGATCTGTGACCTCGGTTTGACCTGTGATTGCCTTTGTCGGTTGGCTTGTTTAGCCCCGGCCTTGTTGTTCAACTATGACGTCATGTTTCTCGTGCATATGACGTCATGTTTCTCGTGCACAGCAGCACTTGCACGCGTTTGACGCGATGTCGTGTTCTGAGATTCTACGCGTAGGTATGCGCTGGGTCCTACAAATCGTTGGCTGCGTTGCGATATTAAGGAATGGCGCAGGGGAGTCGGCGGCCTGATGTATGAGAGCCGCCGCTGTGTCTCCTGGGACGGCGGCGACGGCGGCGGGCCGGCTTGCTCCGTCCTACCCCAGGCGCCACGCGGAATGGCGATGTCGTGATGCCGCCGGCCCCTGTGGACCCGGACCGTGACTTCCCAACCCCTGGCCGGTGAATGTCTGTGGGCCGACGCTGGCACGCGTCCACCGTCCGTGGCGCGCTGGCGGCCGACCGCCCGTCACGTGACAGCGTCACGGACGTGTTTTGACCGTAACACGCCGCTGGTGGTGTCGATTCCCGATGGTAACCGTGACGCGTTGCGTTTCAGGAGCGGATCGAGTACATTTTCCTGGTGATCTTCACGACAGAGTGCGTCATGAGGATCATAGCTTACGGCTTTGTGTTACATCCAGGCGCGTACTTACGCAATGTCTGGAATATCCTCGATTTTAGCATAGTTGTTATAGGGTGAGTACTGACCAGTCGTAGATGGGAGTGCGTTTTTTAAACTTGTTGTTGGCCTCGCAGCTATGTTATGCGTGCCTATGTGTTTGTGTCACCATTGTGTTTGGCATACTTCACCGTAAGGTAAGTTGTTGTTCGTCCTGAGCCCTTCAGTTTGATAAACGTCCTTTCCGGCCTGAGATATGGCGTAGGCTCTGTGTGCCACGTACCATCTTTTGTGTTTGCTAAGGTTGCATTGGGGCTAGTCTGATAATATCATCCCGTGGTCTGCAGATGACTGTTTACCCCGTTTACGATGGTGTATATGTCGGCAGGGGCCATGCGAGATATGGGCAGGGTGGTGGTGTATTGCGTTCCATAATCGCGCCGTGGTATCAATCATGCAGGCCCCATGCATTTCGTCGGACCCATGAGAATGTTACGACATAAATCATGCCAGCACTATGCATTTCGTAAGCATATGACCGGTGGGAAGGGTGCTGATGAGGGCGTTTAGCGCGGTCTTCTCCATGCATGCGGTAATGAACTGTCTCGACGAACCACTTCAATCAACTCTCCATGCCAGTGCTGTGTGTATGTGTGCACGCTCTCGCGCGCACGCGTGTTGTGCTCCGAGTGGCCGGCCTGCAAGCATGGTCCGGTCCAGTCCGGTGGTCCGGTCCGGTCCGGTCCGGTAGTCCGGTCCGGTCCGGTGGTCCGGTCCGGTCCGGTGGTCCGGTTCGGTCCGGTGGTCCGGTCCGGTCCGCCGTGTCCTTACCCCGCCGTGCGAGCCAGTGCGGCTCGGTCCCCCTTGCCACGCCTACCCCCCCCCCCCCCCTCCACACACACTGAGTCACACCTCCTCCTGCCGGCAGTATCGTCAGCACGGCGCTCTCTTCGCTTATAGAGGAGGGCTTCGACGTGAAGGCGCTGCGAGCGTTTCGGGTGCTGAGGCCGCTGCGACTGGTGTCCGGAGTACCGAGTGAGTGGCCGTCGCTCGCCGCCGAGCTCCGCTCGCCGCTGACCATAGCTCGCCGCCGAGCCCCGCTCGTCGCTGAGCCCAGGTCGCCGCTGAGCCTCTCTCGCCGCTGAACCTCGCTCACCGCTGAGCCTCGTTCGCCGCTGAGCCTTGCTCGCCGCTGAACCTTGCTCACCGCTGAGCCTCGCTCGCCGCCGAGCCCCGCTCACCGCCGAGCCCCGCTCGCCGCCGAGCCCCGCTCGCCACTGAGTCCCGCTCGCGCTCGACGGCCGCCGGCCACCGGGACGGACCGGGACGCCACCTCATAACGCCGCCGGCCGCTTCTTGTGACGCTGCCGGCCGTCTCCCAACGCGCCAATTGACGTCGACATGTCGTAGAAAGTGATACTGGATCTGTCGCGGGAGGCGGTTTCGTAGCGGGGCGAGCGGGCCCTCGGCGCGCGTCAGGGGCCCCCCTGGCGGTCGGCGGACCTCGCCGGCGTGCGGCCGCCTCCCCCGCGTCCCGCCCGGTCCGGCGGGCTCGGACCTGTCGGCGTGGGCCGCGCGGCGAGCCCGGCGCCATGCATTATTTGGCGCCGGCCGCGGCCGGCCGGTCACCGGCCCGGCGACTATCCGCCGGGATCGCGGCCGGCGCCGGCGTGTGGCGCCGCTCTCCGCCATCGACCCCGCCGGCCGGCGCCGCTGTCAGCTCTGACAGGTGGGGCCGACGCGCTGTCCGGCACGGGTCACGCGCCGCCGGCCGCGACCTCCCCCGCGGCCGGCGGTGGGCTCGCCCGCGCGGCTCTCCGTCGGTCCCCTGACCTCCGGGAGGGGCGGGTCGCGCTGGGACGCGACGGTCGTGAATGTTTCAGCCCGGAGCGCGACAGCAATGTTACTGGCCCGTGTGAGGCGACGACGGGTCCCTGCCGCGGCTGGCGCTGGAGTCAGGAGGGACCTGTCCGGGGCAGAGGCGCCAGTCCCATTCGAGGGCAGAGGCGCGGTCCCTCTGGGAGACGGAGGCGCGGTCCTTCGTGGGATAGAGGTACGGTTCTTCGTGGGACAGAGGTACGGTCCTTCCCGGTACAGAGGCGCGGCCCCTCCCGAGGACAGGGGCACGGCCCCTCTCGAAGGCAGAGCGGTGGTCCCTCTCGGGGGCGGAGACACGTTCCCTCCCGGGGCAGAGGCGCGGTCCCTCCTGGGGGACGCAGGCGTGATCCCTCCTGGGGCCGAGGCGAGACGCCACTGAGCACCGACGGCGGCCACTGGCGTCGGGCGCTCGACGCCCGGCCGGCGGCCGGAGCCGCGCGTGTCGATCGAACGGTGCACTCCTGATCAAAGGTGCCAGCGATATCAAAGCAGGCGTCAGCTGGCTGTATGGACCGGTGTCGGCCGGCGGACGGCCGTGTTTTCGTGTGGGATTTGCGATATGTGACAAGAGAAAAGTACGCGATGGCAGTAACGAGGACGAACTGTGCATTTGTTGGCTTAGACCTTTTGTTATAAATGAACTCGGTGTATGTGGAGTGCGGGCTCTAAGTGCGAAGAATGGCCATGCCAGACATTGCTGTGCCGTGTCGCTGTTCCGTGCTCCTTGCGCGCCTGGCGGACTTGTTGCGCGTGCCGTTGAATACCGCTCGCATCATTCACCCGTGACATTCAGCCTTCGCGCCGTGGCGGCGTCTGAGGCGGTCTGGTCCGCCCCAACTGGCCTCGTGACCTGCTCGCAGTGAGAGCCGGCCGTGTCCACCCCCCCCCCCCCCCGACCCACACCCCGGCCCCACATTGCAGGCAGCCGCCGCTGTGCCAGAGGGCCGGTTGTCTGACGCGCCGGCTCCGTTCCAGGTCTGCAGGTGGTCCTTAACTCCATCCTGCGAGCCATGGTGCCTTTGCTTCACATAGCGCTCCTTGTGATATTCGTCATCATCATCTATGCCATTATCGGGCTGGAGCTGTTCAAGGGCAAGCTCCATCAGACCTGTTTCCACAACGTGACAGGTAAGGAGGCTCGTAATGTGTTGTTTGAGATGAAGCACGCCGTGTGCTCTTCTACACGATGGTGGGCTTATGGGGGCAGCTCTTCTACACGATGATGGGTGTGTGAGCCCAATATTGCCTCGGTACTTGGTGCTCCCATAAGGTCCAGTCAACACCGGCATAGCGGCAGGTCCGTAGGTGCTGCTCTCTTGCGGACACACGGCGCCTGGCGTGCGTGCCCATGTTCGTCATGCGTCGAGACAGCGGTCGTAATGCATGCAAAGTGTCGAGGAAGTGTATGTGACGCGCTGAGGTCCGATCTCCCGCATCGTGGCATTTGAGAGGTGCGCGCGAGTCGTGCGGCTGGCGCGGTCTGGAGCGGTCTGGGGTGGCGTGATCACAAGGCAGTGCCGGCCGGGGGTATCCTCCGGGCTCCGGGTTGGCCGGGGTATCCTGCGGCCTCCGGGCCGGCCGCCGCTGGCGTGGGAAGCGCCTGGGTATCGTCGGTGTGACGGGCCGCGGCGCCGCTCGCGAAGGTCGCGCGGCGCCGCGGCCACGCGCGCCCGCCGGCGGGACGCAGTCGCCTGCCCTGAGGCAGAGCGATGAGACAGCGCTGGCCTGCCAGCGGGACCTCGGCGCACACGGCTCAGCTCGCTGCTGAGAGCGTTGCGAGCGGTGGGTTCACACGGCTTTGGCGTGGACGTGGTACGGCCACCGGCAGCCGGAGGCGCTCCAGCTTCTGCCTCACACGTAGAGGTGACCGGCGAATGGACGAGAATGGGGCCGGTCAAACACGCGGCGAACTCCCCTCCGGGGGCACGTAGCGCGATGTTGTGTGAAGGAAGAAGGCCTGAGACGCTGGCTGCCATCATCCGCGGTCGCCGTTTGCTCCCGGTCAGACAGGACCGCGGGCGATCGGTCGTCCGCCGCATTCTCCGAGGTGACGGGACGCAGGGGATGCAGGGGGCGGGACACGATGGCGCGTCGGGCCGCTCTGACCGCCCGGTCTCCGCGCCCGTGGACCGGCCGAGCGGCGCCGTTGCGCGGCCGCTGCCGACCGCTCGCCGGACAGGGGCCGGCCGAGCGCGCCGCAGTCGTCCCGCCCGCGCTCCGGCTGCCGGCGCCTTCGCCGCCACCGCGCTCTGCGTGCCGCCGGCCGTCGGCGCGCCCGGGCCGGCTGGTGGCTGCCTTCCGGCGCCTGACGCCCCGGGGGTCACGCGTCGGTGGCCGGCCGTCGGCAGACACCTGTCGCCGGCAGCGGCCGCCGCCGCGCCCGATTGGCCGGATTGATTCGGCGTCCGGCCGTCGCCGCCCTAATGAGCCCGCCGCTGAATGCATTCTTGTGTGGTGCGGCGTCCGCGTGAGCCTCTTCAGCGGCCACGGCGCCGGTCGCCGCCGCCGCCGCCGCAGACTCGGTGCCCTGGTGCCGTCCGTGGGCGCGTCGGCGCGACCTGCCGCGGCGGGATGCGGTGACGCTGGAGTCGCTGAGCGGCGGCAGCGCGCCACCCGTCACGTCCTCACTTACTGCCCGGCCTGGCGCGCAACGGCCGCCGAATGTCGTCCTCGCAGGCCGCCGAATGTCGTCCTCGCAGGCCGCCGAATGTCGTCCTCACAGGCCTCCGAATGTCGTCCTCACAGGCCTCCGAATGTCGTCCTCACAGGCCGCCGAATGTCGTCCTCGCAGGCCGCCGAATGTTGTCCTCACAGGCCGCCGAGTGTCGTCCTCACAGGCCGCCGAATGTCGTCCTCGCAGGCCGCCGAATGTCGTCCTCACAGGCCGCCGAATGTCGTCCTCACAGGCCTCCGAATGTCGTCCTCACAGGCCGCCGAATGTCGTCCTCACAGGCCGCCGAATGTCGTCCTCACAGGCCGCCGAATGTCGTCCTCACAGGCCGCCGAATGTCGTCCTCACAGGCTTCCGAATGTCGTCCTCACAGGCCGCCGAATGTCGTCCTCACAGGCCGCCGAATGTCGTCCTCGCAGGCCGCCGAATGTTGTCCTCACAGGTCGCCGAATGGCGTCCTCACAGGCCGCCGAATGTCGTCCTCACAGGCCGCCGAATGTCGTCCTCACAGGCCGCCGAATGGCGTCCTCACAGGCCGCCGAATGGCGTCCTCACAGGCCGCCGAATGGCGTCCTCACAGGCCGCTGTGCGGCTATTGCCGCGCACCGTACGGCGTCCGGGCTCGTCGACAGCCTCCCGAGGGAGTCGGTCGACGCTGCGGCGGCCGGCCGACGCGCGGCGGCTGGCGCTGTGACGCCGGAGCGCGGCGGCTGCCGCGCCCGGTCCGGGCCGCCGGCCCGGACGGCCCACGTTCCCAGAACGTCGGCCGTAGCGCGCAGTAGCTGCAGCGTCGCTCTCAGTCGGCGCCGCGCTGTCGTGCTCGGGCGCGGCTGGATGAGCGATGGAAATTGACCGGCCGGCTTCGGGCACGGGTATTTCTGTCCCGGGCACGAGCACGCGGCCGGGTCGGTCGGTACAACCCACGCGCGCCGCGCGAGAGAATCCGGACCCGGTGGTCGCGTCTGCCGGCGCTCGGCGTCGGGCCGCGGCGCTGTGTGATGCGAGCCTTCGGGCCCAGAGCAGGCTGAAATAGGCCTGCTCGCCACCACCGGCGGCAGCCTACGCGGCCCGGCGGGACAGCGCGCAAGGGAAGCGACCCGCGACCCGTCTGTGACCGCGCCGTCCGGCCGCAGGTGAAATGATGGAGACGCCGCCGCCGTGCGCCATGACCGACAGCAGCGGCTACCATTGTCCTGCGTTGTACGAGTGTCGGGACGGTTGGGTCGGCCCCAACTTCGGCATCACCAACTTCGACAACTTCGGCCTGGCCATGCTGACCGTGTTCCAGTGCATCACCATGGAGGGCTGGACGGACGTCATGTATTACGTGAGTGGCGGCCCGGCCGCCGCCTGCCTCGCAGGCCCCGGCACGGAAGTGAGCGCTGTCGCGACTAACGTACAGACGCGCAGTTCGGGCGGCGCCGCAGGCCAGGGTTGCTGGTCAGTCTGCCAGGCTTGCTGGTCAGTATTTGAGCCGTTGGCATTCCAACCGTGCAGTTCGAACCGTCTCGTGACTTGTAATGTTGTGATGCGTGTGATATTGCCTTCGTCGCTCAATCATGTATCGTGTTTTGCCGAGCATGGATGACAAATTCGTCTGAATACGAAAGCGTGCGTTGTTTTTATCGCGACTCCGAGCGAAGTGTCCTGTCTGACCGTGCTGGAGGCTGTGAGGCTGACCGGCTGTGACACTGTATGCACCATGTAAACACTAGCTCGCTCTCAGCCCCGCTGCTGCCCAGCGTCCCTGGCCGGCCAGTCGTGCGCCGCTGGAGCCTGGCTGGCCCCGCTAACGCCGCGTTGACAGGGGACTGGCGGCGGCGTAGCGGCGTTTGTTGCGACGGGTGACGGGATGGGCCGGGAGGCCGGACGCCGGGCCGACGGCGGCGGGCCGAGCGGCTCACCCCCATCCGGCGACTCGCCCTCCCCCCGCCCCCGCCCCCGCCACCTCGCCCCCGCGCCGGCCGCGACGCCCGGCCAGCGTCCCCAGACACGAGACCGTGCGGAGTGCGTGGCGCTCAGCTGTTCACGTCACAGCGGGGGCGGGGCTGAGTCAGCTGAGGAGGGTCAGAGTCCGGACCGGCGTGGGATGCCCCGGGGCCCGAGTCACGGGCGGGGTATGCGACCCGCCGGGGTCGGCTGACGGAGCGCCGGCCCGGCGAGGGTGCGCCGCCCGGCCCGGCCGCCGCCGACCGCCGCCTCTGTAACACTGTCTCTGCCTCGTCCGCTTTAGATGAATGACGCGCTCGGCAGCAGCTGGCCGTGGATCTATTTCTTGACCCTCATCATCCTGGGCTCCTTCTTTGTGCTTAACCTCGTCCTTGGTGTGCTAAGCGGGTAAGTTCGGCGCGGCGTGTGCGGGGCCCGGCGCGGCGCCCGCGCCTACCCGTGTGCGCGTGTGGTGTTCATTTTGAGGTGCACCTCCGCTTCCAGCCGTCCCTGCCGCACCCGCGCCCCCAAGCTGGCTTTCTGTGTACCCCGTGGCGGGTGTGTGCTGGGGAGGGTCGGCGCGCGGCGCGCGGCGCCCTCTTGTGGTGACGGGCGTCGGGCAGGGCTGGCGGCCGCCGGCTGCATCGTCCTGCGGAGTTGAGTGGGGTGGTCAGCGACTCCAGTAAAGGTGCGGAAGAAGCGCCGACTCGCGGGCTGGGGCGACCCGCCTGCTGGGCGCCCGCACTCCCCATCCCCTCCCACTCCATGCCCCGGGAGTGCAGGGCTCGCGCTTGGACTCGGAAGGGGGGTGGAGTTCACTCAGATGTCGGGGGTCGATCTCCCCGTCTCATTGGTCAGGCAGGGTCTCAAAGCGGATGGATACGCCCAGTCCCAGAGAGCGGGAGAGCCAGCCTCCCCGTTCTATCTGTCCCGCTTGACCCAAAGGACAGGAGTGCGGCCAGTCTCAAGGGTGAAGGGAAAGGGGGAGGAGGAGAAGCCAGCTCGCAGTCCCTTGAGTCACGCTCAGCCCGGGAGGGTGGCCCGTCCTCGGTCGGCGGCGCCGGCACGCCCCGATCCTGCCTCTGCCCGCCCGCCTCCTGATGTGCCGTTGTCGGGTGCCGCCGGCCGGCGCAGGTCGGCCGGCGCCGGTGCCGGTGCCGGTGGTGGGCGTGTGTGCGGGACACGGGCGGCGCCTGCCGGCGGCCGCCCGGCCGGCCGGTCGGCCGGCGCGCGCCCACATTGTAGGCCGCATGTGTCACCCACTCCACACGACAGCTCGAGACGAGGCCACTCTCTGGATGGCGTGCCCTGCATGGTGTGGCCGGCCGGCGGTGCTCCGGCGGCGCCGGCCATCGCTGACGTTTTGTTTCTCCCGCACCCCAGATTCAGGACGCTTCCGGACAGTCGTGGCCGTGGATCTATTTCATATCAATGATGATCGTCGGCGCGTTCTTTGTAATGAACCTTATTCTGGGCGTGTTGAGCGGGTGAGTTCAGCGGCCCTGGCCGAGACGCTGTCTCTGTCACTGTCACGCCGCACGCGCTGCGGACGTGCACGTGCACGTGCCGCACGTGCCACGCGCCCGCGCGCGCGCCGGCCGCCACAACTGTCACCGACGGGCCGCGCTGCGGTGCCGCCGTTTTGTTTCGTCACTGTAGTGATGTTTTGAGATCGGATTAACAGGCAGCTCAAACACATTGAAACTGGCTCGTTCGTTTCGTCTCGCCCGCTACGCTTTGTGGCACGGCTGGGAAATCGGTGGTCCTTTTCAAGTGCGCTGACTTGAGTGGTCACTGGCACCTTTTGAAATGTTCGCTGGCAACGTTGCTGCACCTTTTGGCACTTTCGACGTTTCCTGCGATGCATCATTTAAAAGGTGGCGATTTGTTGATTGCTGGTGACGACGGAAACGAAATTGCCAGTGCGCCGTATTTACGGAATGGTCTTGGGTGCTCATTTTGTAGTCAGTTCGCCGTTAACATTATTGCATTTTTGCTGTCAGGACAGCCATTCGTAAGTTTAGTGGGTGTTCGGTTTTTGTTTGCGGGACGTTTTGGTTGACCTGTCTGGTCGGCCGGTGTGGTTGTGCTGGTAGACTGGTAGCATAGGTGGTACGTAACCACCCAGGCCCGGATCGCATGGTTCAGTTGGTTTCACACGAGCATGCCTTGTGCCCGCCCCTGCATTTTGACCCGCCGTTAGACCACCCTTGACCCGCACAAACGCTGCTTTGTCCGTATGTCGTTTGGGAGGTCTGCTGTAGGTATTTTGCGAACCGTTTGATCACGCCTTGCCCTAGTACTGAGTCATGTGTCGGCACTGTCGGCGCGCTACTCGCCGTCACTCATGTTATCCGCACCCCGCGCTGTTCGCGAGAGTCGGAATGCCGCCCGAGTCGGCGACGCGTAACGCTCGCAGTTGGTCTTGAAGGAGCGGTGGGGCCGCCCTCAGCGGCCGCCGCCTGCCATGTCGGTCCTCCTGGCGCCCCGCGGCGCGCCGCCGCCACCCGGCTGACCGGTCCGGGCGCCGGCAGAGAGTTCTCCAAGGAGCGCGAGAAGGCCAAGGCGCGCGGAGACTTCCAGAAGCTGCGCGAGAAGCAGCAGCTGGAGGAGGACCTGCGCGGCTACCTGGACTGGATCACGCAGGCCGAGTACCTCGAGCCGGAAGACGAGGCGCAGGGCGATGAGACCAAGCTGCGTGAGTGCACCGCGCTGGCGCGTGAGCAGATTGTCGGGCGCGCGACGCCGAGCCGCGCGGCCGTGTCGCGCTGCCCCGCCGAGGCCGCCGATCGGGAGCGGCACTAACCGCCTGTGTGCGATACGGAGTCAGAGTGAGCAGCTGCGGTGTAGACCCGACCGCCCTGTGCGTGGGTGTGCTGACCCGGCGCCGAGGGTGGTCCTCTGACCTGACCCCGTGGGGTCCGCCGGTGTCCGCCAGACGACAATGTGGAGGAGGACGACCCGCAGGCGGAGGACGGCGACCCTGTCGACAGCCGGCAGCTCTCCTGCTGGGCCAAGAAGCGCAAGGGCTTTGAGAAGTGAGTGGCGAGCGTGACTGGCTGGAGGCACCGGCGGGGCGCGGGGCCCGCCGACCGCGCCGGTCGTCAGCCGCCAGCCGAGCCTCGCTGTGGCTCTTGTCTCGTCAGGTCGGCCCGGGCGGGGCGGCTGGCCGCTCGGTGGTCTAGCTCGTGACCTGTAACGTAGCTCCGGGATTGGCACTTACGGTGGCGGCTGATTTCTGGTGCAGCTCCCAAGATCGGCCATGTTCCTGATTTGTACTGTATCTCCTGATATTCCTCGACGCCTGGCCGGCAGCGTGACGTCTTGGTTTATTCCTTTGCGCGAGGCCTGTACAGTGATTCGTTATGGTTTTCGTAGCGCCGCGCCTACACGCAAGTCGTGACGGTGGCTCCTGGCCCGTAGCGTAACCCGCGATCCGTGCTGTGGCCCCGATCCGTAACTCGGGTTTTACGCCGGGATTCCCGACTGGTAACACGTGTTGTCCACCGTGAGCCCATGCCTGTAGTGTAGCATCCTGTCTCGCGGCACCCGTGATCTGTAACACGGCCTGCGGTCCGTACGGTGACGCCCGACCTCCGTCGTGACCGGCGCCGTCCGACCGGGGCCGTGACCGTGACCGTGACCGTGACCGTGACCGTGACCTGTCTCCGCCCTCGCGTCAGGTGGAACCGCCGGATGAAGCGGTCCTTCCGCACGGCCGTCAAGTCGCAGTCCTTCTACTGGCTCATCATTCTGCTGGTGTTCCTGAACACGGGCGTGCTGGCCACCGAACACTACAATCAGCCCAAGTGGCTGGACAAGTTCCAGGGTTAGTGTGTGCTCGGGGCTGCCGATTGCCGGGGACTGTCCGCGGGGTGGCGCGGGACCCTGGGTCGCGTCTGGGCCCGCTGCCGACCCAGACGCCAGTCCCAGGGTTGGTGGGCACGGGACCGCGCTGCACCGCGGCCGGGCTCGGGTCGGTGCGGCACCCGCTGTCGCTCTTTGTCGGGTGTGGAGAGAATCTGGAGTGTGCGTGTGTGTTGGTGTGCACGCACCGGTGTATGTGTGTCACACGGCCCGGCGAACGGCGGCCATGCGTCCCCAGTCCGTGGTGATAGCGTGCTGGGACTCGGGTGGGACCGGGCCTGGTGGCGGCCGTCGTAGTGGGACCGGGGCTGGCGGCGGCGTGGGACCAGGGTCTGCGTCTGTGCTGGCGTTTGCGGCCTGTCTGTGTGTGCCTGGTGGGGCGTTAGCCACCGCACTGACGGGTCTCGGTGCCAGCTGAAGTCGGACGCTGGGCAGGCTGCACCCGGGCCATCTCAGGGCTGGATAGAACTAGAGAAATGATTCATTTCCGAGTAGACACTCCTCGATATTCTTAGCGTCATTGACGCAGGCCATCCGCGCATTGCGCTAAGGTGACGTAAGGCAATCAACGTGTTTTCCACTTGGTTGTTAGCATGCACACAAATGGGCCCTAACGCTGAATTGTGTACACCTTTAGACCATATGTTTAACTTGTTTGCGATATGATGATACGTTCAACTAAACCAAGATACATTCACCCTAAAGCGCATACTTCTACCCAGTACTACCTAAAACCACGTAAGGTAGAACCTCACGTAATGTTCGACATGCCGTAGCGTAAAAAAACGCCGTACGTCGTAGGCGTTACGTGACCTCCGCCCAAGAATCGCATCTGATGTGACGCAAGGTGCAAAGATGCATGTGGCTAGCTCCAGCTGTACCACAGCTACACCGAAAGCTGTCGTTGGACGGATACACGCCTGGCCGAGTCAGCACGACTGCTTACGTAACGGCCATCAAATAGATTGACGCTGCCGTCCTGAGACTCGTCACAGTCCGGCGGACTGAGCCCCCCGCGTGGCGCGCTGTTGGCGAAGGAAAGCGATCATGTACTTCGCCAATCACGTTAGGAATACCGGACATGCCGGTTGCGGCCGATGGCAGGGTCGCATGTCGTGCGCCGGTGCGGTGCGGCAGGTCGCTGGTCGGGCGTAACGGCCAGATGTGAGTGTGACACGTGCTGCCGTAACAGCCAGTTGGGGGGGGGGGGGTGAGTGAGAGGTGTGGGGGGGGGGGAGTGTACGTGCTCCCACAGACGGCGCATCATAACCATTGGGAAACGGTTGGCGACTGCCATGGTGGATCAACGTTTGTGGTGTGGGTGTGTGTGGGGTGTGTTGTGTTGTGTGTGTGTGTGTGTGTGTGTGTGGTGTGTGTGTGTGTGTGTGTGTGTGTTGTATGTGTCTGTGTATGTGTATGTGTATGTGTATGTGTATGTGTATGTGTGTGTATGTGGGTGTGAAGGGGGGGGGGGGCGGTGCGAGTGTGCGACTGGGTGGGTGGGTGTGAATTTCGTCTGCGATGCACGGTCATGTAAGCAGGTGGTGCCTTGTGTTGTTTTTGCACCATCCAGGGCCAGTCTGTCGCTCATGGCCAGTTACCACTTTCTGCGCTATGTACAAATATGTGTTCTGGGCTATCGTGACATCCGCTGGCTTTTTGTCCTGAGGCAAACATTTCGTGAAGCATTTGTTAGGCCCGGCCCCAGCGATTCCTGGCCCTAATTTTTGTGTCTGTCTTTTCAGAGATAACCAACCTGTTTTTCATCGTGCTTTTTACAATTGAGATGCTCATCAAAATGTACGCTCTCGGATTCCAGGTAAGTGGAAGACACCTCTTTCATTATCGTTGCGTCTGAAGAGAAATTCCGAAATAAGAATGCAACAGCGATTCCAGTTACGGAAATACAAATATGGAATCGGTTGATACATCACGCATTAGTTTGACAATTTGACGGACGTCTGCGGTTTCCTGTTGCAGAGCTATTTCGTGTCGCTGTTCAACCGCTTCGACTGTTTCGTGGTGATCAGCAGCATCATGGAGGTGCTGCTGACAAAGACTGGCGTCATGCCGCCTCTGGGCGTGTCCGTGCTCCGCTGCGTCCGCCTCTTGCGCGTGTTCAAGGTCACCAGGTCAGTCTGATGCGCTTGGAGGCCACGGAAGACGTCCGGGCGCGCGGGTCGGGGCACCCAAAGAGCCGCTCACTTGTGTCATCGGCCGCCGGGGCACAAAAGGACATTGACCTGAATCCACCCCAAACGAAAGATTTTGTTAACAACAGCTGAAGCCCCCCCCCCCCCCTCCTCTCCCAAAGAAAGAAACAGAACATTCTGTCACTTGGGGCAGTGCAGCGCTTCAGTGTAACTTGTAGCGAGCGACGGCCGGAAAGGTGTCGTGGAGAGTGGGCCTTTGCTGCGTTGGCGCTGTCTCGCCCCTCCCCTCTCGGCGCCGGCGGCAGCGTCTCGAGCGGCGTCCGCCTCCAGCCCGGCGCCGTCCCCGGCCGGGCTGCCGTCCGGCTCCAGCCGGGCTCCAGCCAGTCTGGCCCCGGCCCCGGCCCGGCTGCAGCTGACCTCTGTCCGCCGCCGGCGCCACCAGAGGTCGCCTGTCAGGTGGCGGCCGGGCCGGAAATTTGCGGCCTCGGTAAGCCGGCCAGGCTGATTGCAGATTGAGGCCGGCACGCCGGGCGCCGCCGCCTCGGCTGCCGTTAAAGGCCGCCGTACGCGGAAGACGCGGCGCAGTGTTGGGCTTTATTCCTCTGGAGAGGGCCGCGCGCGCCCCGCCGCCGCTCGGTGGGGAAATCCCAGCCGCCGAGATTGATTGCGACGCGCCGCGCGCGCACATGGTCGCGTGCTCAGGGAGCGGGCGGGCCGCGTGGAGCCCGGCTGGAGCGGCGTGTGTCGTCGTACAGGCCGGGGGGAGGGTAATCGGCGTTGTCGGGCGTGTGTGGGTGGACGAGGTCCTTGACATTTGGAGCGCTGCCAGGACTGTATAGAGGAGCTGAGCTGTTGAGCTGTTTGTGGTGTGTTCTGGTGTAACCTTCTCGTAAATGGACGTACGTAGCTCTGCAAAGGTCTATCGAAGTTCGTCAGTTACATAGTCGACTGTATGGTCATTTGCTAGTGTAATGTGCACGCCTGCAGTAGACGCCAGCTTCCTCAGACGGTGCTTAACCAGCATGCAGTGTTTTCATGGTCCTCTACATGTATTTCGTTACATTTTGATCAGTTATAACTGTCCGTATTTTTTGTTGCTGAGAGTTTTCTTTCGTTTTCTGGTTTCGCTATGCTAACAACAGCTGGTGTACCGTCTGTGTGCTTGCCGGTTCATTTTTAGTTTTTCTTTTGCAGATATTGGCGGAACATGGGGAACCTGATCAGGGCCCTGGTCAACTCCATCCAGTCCATCATATCCTTACTGTTCCTCCTCTTTCTCTTCATATTCATCTTCTCCCTTCTCGGGATGCAGATATTCGGAGGAAAACTGAGCGGACTCCGAAGTAACTTCGACACATTTTGGCAGTCGATCATGACGGTATTCCAGGTACATATACACGTCTGTGCGGCGCTCAGGCCGGTGCACAGCCACCTTTGTGCAGCGACACACACACCTGTGACACACCTCTGACGCACGCTGGCCCTGCGCGCGGGTCGGCTCGGGGTTGCAGCAGGCTGCTCCGGAGGGTGCCGCTGCGGCTCGGCGGCAGCGGGTGGCGCGCTGGCTGTGCGCTGCGAACGGCCATGGATGGCACCGGCGGGTGCCGCTGTCGCCGCCAGCCGCTGGTGGACAGCTGCAGCGGCTTGTGGCGCCTGGCTTTCGGCGGCACTGCACAGCACTTATTCTTTCACGTCCCCACCGCCTGTTTATCCTAGTTCCCCGTTGATCTGCATACCTTACTACTTTCTTCCGTTTTTGCCACCTCGCCGCCGTCCGTGCATCCTGAGCATCTCCTGTTTATCTGTATATCTAACTGTTTTTCTGCTGCCTCTCCGACTTTCTCTGCGTTCATATGCCGTTCTCAGTCACGCTCCCTCTCCCTCCGAAGTCTCATATCCGTTCTCGGACACGCCGGTGCCTGTCCCCGTTTGTCCGCCTGGGTCCTGCCCCCTCCAGCTCGGCTAGCGTCGCTGCTGCGGCTGGCTCGTGGCCGTTCTCGCCGCCCGCTCTGTCCGTCGGGCGTGCCTGTCCCGCTCGGGATCCGCTTCGCCCTGTGTTAGCGCTCTGCATGCTTGCCTACGCGCGCGGGTCGGGCGGCCGCGCGCCGCGCCGCCGGCCCGGGGCCGAGCCGGTGGCTGCACGGTGAGTCCGGCGGCGGCGGCCGGCGCCGCCTGACGCACGTCTGCCCCCGTGTTTCAGGTACTGGAGATCGCTCTCCAACCTGGTGGCCTCGCTCCTCAACTCAATCCAGTCGATCGCCTCCCTGCTCCTGCTCCTCTTCCTCTTTATCGTCATCTTCGCCCTGCTCGGTATGCAAGTTTTCGGCGGCAAGTTTAATTTTGACTCGACGACGGCCAAGCCGCGCAGCAACTTCGATACTTTTGTGCAGAGTTTGTTGACCGTGTTCCAGGTATGGGGCTGGCCGGACTGGGCCCGGGCCTGCCGACTGCTGTGGCGGACTCGGCGCCGCGGGCTGCCGATCATGCTGTCTGACCGTGACTCGAAGAGTCGGCGGAGCGCGAACCTTTACGACATTGCGCGGCGTCTGTTGGTAGTTAATACTTGCGCGGAAATTTGTGCGTCACAACTTCTAGTCCTCCAGTGACACTATTTTATAGTTGTTCGTTTGTGTATTGCGGCCCATAAGAGAGAAAACGTGCTAAAAGTGACGCGCATCGAACCATTCGCCGCGGGAGGGCAATGTCGACGGGTCGGCTGGAGCAGCCCGCGCCGAGTCGCCGCGCGCCGCGCTGAGGCCGGCCCGGGCCGGTCGTCGTCTGGATGTTAGGTGCGGTACTCGGCGTGTTTAGTTCCAACTAACTGGTGGTGCATGCTGCCCGGCGGCCGCTCCGCCGCGCCCTCCGTCTTTTGTTTCGTTCGCGACTGCGGCCGGGAAGGTGAGTCGGGGCAGCCGGGACGTCCCCGCGGCGTTACAGCTCGCTCCTCGTCGCCCACATTCGGAGACGACGGCTGGGGTCGGCTCGGACCGGAAGAAAGATGGCGGCGCGCATCGGGCGCCGCCATGTTGGCGTCGACTGCCTGCCTGCTTGTTTTTGCTGTCCGTGCTTGGCCCTGATGTGGTGCCTGGGCGTCCCGCCGCTGGCGGCGGACGTGGTGAAGACGGTTTGATCCGGTTCCGGCGTCTAGACGGCCGGTGCATGCGCGGCAGCTAGTGAAGGTCCCCTGACTCGGGCCTCTCCGTCCAGGCAGGTGCAGGCAGCTTTGCGTGGTGTGCACTTTTGTCCGTGGCGACCACCCGGGCGGCGTGGACCGCTCTCGGGAGCTTTGTGTGTTGTGTTTCTGTGTTTGATGTTGGTTCGTGGTGTGAATGCTAGCGAACGGATAACGCTGGGACACTCACTGACACATGCCCCACGCATAAAACTGTTGTTCGGACGTGTAACGTAAGATCGAGCGTGTTCCCTCCATTGCGCTTGGTCACGATATTCTAGAAATGGGCACAAAGTGTCGCTTGCTGTCATCGGGAGTAAACCTTCCGTCAGTGATGCGTTGCCGAGCTCCCAACTTTGCATCTCCTTTCATGAGAATAACAACCTTGTGCCCCTAGTTCACAACTGTGCACCAGTCCGGCCGGGACCAGGGGATTCCATGGGCTGATGCGCTCAAGCGCTTACCGTGCACCGCTTTCAGATTCTGACCGGTGAGGACTGGAACGTGGTGATGTACCATGGCATCGAGGCTTACGGCGGCGTGGGTGGCTTCGGCGCCCTGGCTTGCTCGTACTTCATCATCCTCTTTATCTGCGGCAACTGTATCCTTTCTGTGGCCATGGGCAGAATGGGTCGGTGGTGTACAGCACATCTAAATCAGCTCGCCGGTTGGGACTGGCGGCGTGAGCAGTCAGTAGGTGGATGGTGAGATGTTCTGACCACCAACCGTCCGCGGACTCTGGCGCGCGTCTCAGCGCGTGGCAGCTGTTGGACGGGCCGTCACCGTTCGCCGGCCATCCACGCGCCCCGCGCCAGCCTCCCAGTCGGCCGTGGCCGAGTGCTGTCTCGTATGCCCCTTAACTCGACGCCTGCAGATATTCTGCTCAACGTTTTCCTGGCCATCGCCGTCGACAACCTGGCCGACGCCGAGTCTCTGACGGCGATAGAGAAGGAGGAGGAGGAGGAGGTGAGCGCCGCCGACCGCGCGCCCGCCCGGGCTGTGGCAGCTCAGGCGACGCCGGCCGGTTACGGCTGTGGCGCACGCGGCTGTTGCGAGTGTGAGGCGTGTGTGGGCTGGTTCCGTCTGATGTTTCGCCGCGTGGAACGTAGCAACGAAAGGGAACAGTGCGCAGCGCGGCGCGGCGCTCACACGAAGTGCAGCACAGCGCGACAGCTCTCTCCGTTGCGCCAACGCGCTGCGCGCAGAGCGCGTGCAGTCGCCTTGCGCCACCGCACGGCCCGTCACTGTGGGCTGTTGCATCTGTGTGCGCCTTTCTGCCCGCCGGTGGGCTGTCCTGGTCTGATGGTGATGTTGATTCGCAGGGCTATCAGTACCAAGACGAGTTTGTAAGTGGCCCGTCACCCCCTTTCGTGCCGCCCGGTGCATGCTGCCCCCGCACCCGTTCAGGCTTTCAGTTCGGGGCGCTCGCTCACAGCCGGCTGCCGCCGCATGCCATCGCGTGACGCACCGTGGCGGGGAGGAGACGCACCGTGTGATGGCGCCAGCGCGCGTGACTGCTCACCTGTGATGGCGCCAGCGCGCGTGACTGCTCACCTGTGATGGCGCCAGCGCGCGTGACTGCTCACCTGTGATGGCGCCAGCGCGCGTGACTGCTCACCTGTGATGGCGCCAGCGCGCGTGACTGCTCACCTGTGATGGCGCCAGCGCGCGTGACTGCTCACCTGTGATGGCGCCAGCGCGCGTGACTGCTCACCTGTGATGGCGCCAGCGCGCGTGACTGCTCACCTATGATGGCGCCAGCGCGTGACCGCTCACCTGTGATGGCGCCAGCGCGCGTGACCGCTCACCTGTGATTCCGTCAGCGCGCGTGACCGCTCACCTGTGATGGCGCCAGCGCGTGACCGCTCACCGTGTGATGGCGCCAGCGCGCGTGACCGCTCACCGTGTGATGGCGCCAGCGCGCGTGACTGCTCACCTGTGATGGCGGCAGCGCACGAGACGACGCACTGTGTGATGACGCCAGTGCGTAAGATGACGCACCGTGCGATGACGCCAGTGCGTAAGATGACGCACCGTGTGATGACGCTAGTGCGTAGGATGACGCACCTCTCGGCGGTCGTCATCTGATGCATTGTGAAGACGGCCGCTCCCGCGTTCGCCTCTATAACACCACGCTTCGCACTCCTGCCGGGCCCGCCCTCAGCGGCGCCGTTAGAAGCTGCGCCTGCTGCGGTCGCCGACAGACGTCGTGACCTGTGGCCTGTTCCGCAGAAGGCGCGCTCGCGGTCGCGCAGCGGCTCCCCTCGGAAAGACGGCGACCGGCTGGACGAACCGGCCGTGGAGCAGGACCACTCGCAGTATGGCTCCCAGAAGCTGGCGGAGCTCAACCATGTGGGGTCAGTGGGCCGCCCGCACGACGGGCTCGGGGCACAACTTTTGGAACTGGTTAAATGGCAGGAGCGGACGGTGGTGAGGGCGTCGTGCTGATATTTTACTGTTCCGTGGAGCATTTAGAAACATTAGCTGATATTGGTATCTAAGGTGGAACTTTCCCAATCTTCTGGCGGCCTCTACCCATGGCGTCGCTCGTGTCTGTCAAGGGTGCCGGCTTAATGTCGTGGTGTAGTAATGCAAGCTGTGTTCCCACAGTGTCGATAGAGTGGGAAGTCAAACCAGCGTCGAGATGGGAGAGGAAGAGATGGAAGACGAAGGCTACGACAATTACGACGAAGATGGTATGCCTTCGTGCACGAGCCATTTCCCGAGGGAAAATGTAGCCCAGGCAGCTCTATAGTATCGCTGTCCTAGCACGAGTTGTTGTTTTATTAGTTCTAGTCGTATTTGTTACGTTTTATGGCAGTGGTCCATCACTAACTGCATTACCCTTCCCCACAATGTGGAAGCAAGCTGAGTTGTTAGCTGGATTGCATGGTGTTAGTCATCAGTTCTTGCCCAGTAATAATCACAGGGATGCACTGTTCCCATATTTTGTTCATGTCTTGTGTTGGTGGTCCGGCTCTGCTCGGGATCTTCCTGTCTCTTCATGCTTGATTACTAGCTCCCTCTCAATTCGTCTCTGTCTCGTTTCACACCCTCGCTAATGCGACTGTCGGAGTGGCGTAACGAGACGCGACCGGCTGGTCAGCGCTCCGACTCCCTGCTCGCCGGGTCTGTGACCCCCCCCCCCCCTCTCCGGGTCACTGACCTCACGGCCCGCGGGTCACTCGCCCGCCGGTCTGTCGGGTCACTGATCGCACGGCGGCCTGTGGAATCACTGACCTTACGGTCCCCGGGTTGCTGACACTGCGGTGTGTCGGGTCACCCCGCCCGCGGTCCGCGGGTCACTGACCCCACAGTCTGCCAGGTCACTGACCCCTCGGCGGGCTGGGCCCTGGCCGGGCGGCCTCCTGTGACCGGACGGCTGACCGACTTGCAGGCGCCGGCCGTCGGCGCGGCTCAGACGATGGCAGCGGTAGCGGCGTCGACGTGGACGAGCTGCCGCCCACCATGCGGCCGCGCCGGCTCTCGCAGCTCTCCATCAAAACCAAAGTCAAACCGATGCCGCAGTACAGTAGTTTCTTTGTGTTCGCGCCGGACAACAGGTGAGTGTGGCGACGGCGGCGGCGGTGCGTTGACGGCCCCTGCGCTGGCTTTCAGAGGACGGCGACCCGTCGGCGGGTGCGCGGCCGCGGCGCCTCTCCGAGTTGGCGCCGGCCAAAATACAACCCATCCCGCCCTACAGCTCCTTCTTCGTGTTCAGTCCCGACAACAGGTGACGGGCGGCCGCAGCGCCCCTGCCGGCTGCGTGTGACACTAACCGTGGCGTGCCCGTCGCGTGCGCCCCTCAGTGACGTCCGGCTTGCGTGTTTACTGGCCGCGGCGCCCCAGACGGCCGGCCGTGCTCGGCGGCAGCAGCCTCTCCTTGCCCGCGTGCCGCACCTGTTGGTCCGTCCTGGTGGCGTGGCTGCATTGTGACTGCTGCCTATCGTCGCTGGTCTTGTCCCCGCGCTGCTCCAGTGGCTGTAGCGAGCGCGCCTACGCGTAAAGAGCATCGGCTAGATCCCCTACCCGATCAGTGCAGAATCAGTACTGAATGTGTTGCGCGCGGTAGTATTTGATGTCTAACTGCACTGGTTAGCACCGCGTCATCCGTCCGCGCACGCGCTGGGCGAGCGGGACCAACCGTCCCCTGGGGCAGACGGCTGCACCGGCGGTAGAGCCCGCCCCGAGCCCCGTGCAGGGCTCCGGCGACCTCGGCCGATGGCCCGAGGCGGATGGTCCAGGTCGGCATGCGTCCAGCACCGCACCTCCGCTCGTCGGCTGCCCACTTGTGTCGCTTCTGAGTCGTGGATCGGCTGATCTTGCGTGAATACGGTGACGTTTCCATGGTGGCTTGTTTCATGTGATAAAATGTTGTCAAGATGTTGCGCGAAAGCCCTTCGGTGGCTCAGTGCTTGTGAAATGTGAGGTGTGCTAAGCATTCATTCAGCTTAAAATGACATAACATTGATTAAGTACGTTGAGTTGTTAAGTAAGAGGTATTCTGAATGATTTTTCGGTCGCGGACCTCGCTCACAGATTGGATCAGTACAAATATAAAACTGGTCGCCAGATGCCAGCCAGTGTAGACGCTGTCTGTATCTGCGTATGTAAACATGGCATGGGCGCTCTCGGGCCCGGGTGCCGTTTGGCGCACGTTTTATGTTTGTACTCTTCGGACCTGTGAGGAAATGTCCATGAAGCGATAACTAATTCTAAAAGCATCTTACTTACCGACTAAAACGTATAATTATTGTGGGGAAGTCACTTTAATTCGATGGGCACGTAAAAACGTTGGGTTTGGTATTTATGATCGGCACTTATTGTCATAGAAGCATGCGTTTGCTTTCAGCATTTTGCAGCGACACCGTTCGTGTGTGCCGGTCGCTGGCCCTCCATCGCACATCATACGTTGTGGTTTTCTCGTGTGTTCCGGAGCCGGGCATTTTTCCATCCGCCTTTCTTGCACCGCTGTTCCCGGGTACCTGTCAGAGTGCAGTCCCATCACGGCGAGAGTGCCGCGCGGTGTCGCCTCGGACGTCAGACCGGAGTCGGCCTCCGCCGGCGGGCCGCTCAAGCTGCGGTGGCTCGGTCTCGAGTCCGTGCGCGCGAGCACGCCGACGGCCGGAGCGTGGCCCGCGCTGCACGGCCGTGGCCTGGCCCCCGTCTGCCTCGTCCGAACGCTAGTCAGACGCGTCCGGGCCGATCCGCTCGCTCCGGATGCCCGTCCGTGCTTCGCCGCTGATGCGCCGCCGCTCCCGCAGGTTCCGCATCTTCTGCCACTGGTTCTGCAACCACTCGTACTTCAGCAACGTGATCCTGGTGTGCATCCTGGTGTCGTCGGCCATGTTGGCCGCCGAGGACCCGCTCGATGGCAAATCGGAGAGGAACCGGGTCAGTGGCCGGGCGAGAGGTCAGAGGTCAGGTCGAGAGGCACGCTCCCAGGCCCGGATGTCACGCTGTCAGAGTCGGCGGGGGGGGGGGGGGGGGCAACCGGACCCTTGCTCGGACGCCAGAACTCCGCTGACAGCTTCTTAAATCTGTTGGAAGCTTTGCATTGTGAGGACGGCGGTGGGTGCGGTCGACATGCCGTTGTGGCATACATCGGCACAGTCGTGCGGCCTTGCGGAATCGCTGCGTTCCCGCACGTTACGTCCAACAAATGTGAGTGGGTGGTGGCCGGTGGGGCGGTCGACGTTGACACCACCTCAGTCGCTGCTGTACCGCGGCTCCTCGCCGGCGCCTGTGCCGCGACAGCGCCGCGCTCGCCTCACGCCGCCTGGCCGCCGCAGATCCTGAACTACTTCGACTACTTCTTCACGACTGTCTTCACGGTGGAGATCGGGTTCAAGGTGATCGCGTACGGCTTCATCCTGCACCCGGGCTCGTTCTGCCGCTCGGCCTTCAGCCTGCTCGACCTGCTGGTGGTGACCGTCTCGCTCATCTCCTTCGTGTTCAGGTGAGCGCGCCGGCGGCCAGTGGCTGGCGCCGGGGCCGGCCGACTGGTCGGGCCTTTACGTGAGGCTCGAGCGGGGACCGGGCGGAGCGAGAGTGGGCGCAGGACGCCTGGGTGTGTTGACGTGCAGCCACTGACCATTTGGCGATCTGTTTTGTATGTTTTGGCTAACTGGCTGTCGATTGTTTGCCGGTGTACTTGTACTGGAGTTGGAGGCTTGGTTAGGTTATCCTCATGTTCAGTCATTTGCCACTTTCGCACAGTTCTGAAATGCTTTTTGCTGAGCAGCCTGATCTGTTGTCACGCCCAGTGCCTACGGCTGGCCCTTGCTTAAGCGCCCAGACCATCAAAAAAGCCCGTGAGACACCGGCTCTTACTATTTATCTAGTCAACAACTCCTTGTCAATCAGGTATTTTGACTGAAAATGGGAGTGAAGGTAGAGAGGTGGAGTAGCCGAAGATGTGAGTGTGACACCTGCCCCGTTGGCGTTGGCGCGGGTTTTCCCATTGCGGTGATGCTGTGAACACCCGTGCTTCCCGAGCTGTGTGGTGGCACCGAGCCGGCGCGAACGCAGCTCACCAAAAGGTGGCTCGTGGCCGCTGCTGGCCACACGCCTGACGCCGCGCCCGGCCAACGTTTCAGAATCGTTCTGCACCCCGCCCAGCACAAACAGTTCATTAATAATATGAGGTAACGCGGGTATCTGCGTGACTCCGCCGGCGCGTGCAGCGACCAGTCGGACCTTTCTCTGCGTGTGTCACACCGTTTCCAGCCGGCCGACTAACCCCGCCGCCCGAGATAACCCGCCGAGTGCGCGGCCTGCGCTAACGGAGGCCCACGGCGGCGGCCCGCCAGCTCTGTCCGTCCCTCTCGCCGCGCCGTCCGTCTCTGGGCGCCGGGAACCGCGCTCCCGGCGCCGCTCGGCTGCCGCGCCGCCTCGCTGCCGACCTGTTGCTCGTCTCGTCCGTGCGTGCGGTGCTCTCGCGCCGCCCGCGCCGCCCGCCGACCGCAGCCCCGCCGCCACGGCGCGCTCTCATGAGCGCGAGCAGCGCCGTCGTGTCGGCAGATGTGCCGCCGTCCGCGCCGGCCGGTCTGGCAGCCCGGCTGCGCGCGCGCCTGGGCAGTGTGCCGCCCGCTGGCGGCAGGGTGTGGGACGCACTGCGGTCGCTCACGAGCGCCTGTTCAGGGCGCCTGTGTGTGGTGGTGAGACGGTGTTTGGCGACCGTGCCCGCCCGCCGTGGCGCCGAAGCCGCGCTGACCTGGCCGGCTGGCGTCTGCCGCAGCTCCGGCGCCATCTCAGTGGTGAAGATCCTGCGTGTGGCGCGTGTGCTCCGGCCGCTGCGGGCCATCAACAGAGCCAAGGGACTCAAGGTGGGCAGGCGGTGCCGGCAGGCGCCTCGGTCAAACGGCAGCCTTGTGTGGAGAGTGGACGCGCGGCGTGACTGAGTGCTTCAACTTCCACCCGTGCTGGTCATCGCCTTTTCGAAGACGTTATCTCAATGTATTGGCGATTCCCGCAACTCAAATCGCACGCCTGAATAGGGCACACCGCGATGCGAAGGCGCCTTTTCCGATGTCAGGGCGCCTCAGTCTCTGTTGGATGGTCTGCCTGCTTACCCAACGCGACTCCGGGGCGGATGTGCGTGCGTCTTTGGGCGGTACCCAGTATGGTGGCACACGACCAGCCGCCGCCCCCCCCCCCCCCCACAGCTGTGGCCTGCGTGGTGCCTGACGTGACCCCCCTTCCTCCATCTTCAGCACGTGGTGCAGTGCGTGATCGTGGCCATCAAGACCATCTGGAACATCATGCTGGTCACCTGCCTGCTGGAGTTTATGTTCGCCGTGATCGGCGTCCAGCTGTTCAAGGGCAAGTTCTTCATGTGCAACGACAACTCGAAGCTGGTGGAGGAGGACTGCCAGTGAGTAGCGTTGGCGCGCTGGGCGGCTCTGCCGGACACCGGTTCTCCAGAGCTAGCCGGGGCTCTCTGTCGCTGTAGGTGATGTCTATCTACTGTTTGTGTTCAGTTCACTGCCATCTGTGAGCCGTGAACGTAACGACGGCCGCACCATTTCGCATAGTTGCGCGGTCCATGCACAATTATCAGGTAAACTCTACTCAACGCGCAAGTGGAAATAATGCGGCATTTTTTGGCAGTAAGGTCACCTTGCACTGAGCGCCAAACAAGAAAAGCAAAACAGAACACACTGGGTGGCCACGAGAGGTAGACACAGTACACGATGTGCACGAACAGAACATGACTCTTTTGTTCGGTGTGATCCCGGCTGGGCGGTGAGCACGTTGCACTCAGGTTGCAGAGCCGCAGGAAGTGCTTTGTCTCGCTTGTAGCCGGGCCTCCTGCGCACGTATGGGGTGTGGGCGATGGCGTGGTTTGCCTAAAGTCCACTATGCCAAGCCCGATAGCAATCGTGATATGGTCAGCACGCTATCTGCCTACGCTGCTGTCTGTCAGTGCGCGGCTATTTGAGCCGCTTGCTTGTCCAGCGGAGGCTGATGCGGCCTGCGTCTGCCCGTTTCTTTCAATCGCGTCCCGGTGTGGTCAGCTCCGTTCCCAGTTCCGTCCCCAGCTCCCTGGTCAGCCTCATGCCCGTGCTCCACCCCAGCTCTGTCGTCGCACCGCCTCAGCCCCGTGCTCAGCCCCCTGCCCGCGTCCAGCCCCAGTCCCGCCCCCAGCACCGCCTCCAGTTCCGCTGCTCTCTGAGCGACCGCACGTCGCGCCGTTCCAGGGGCGAGTACATCGAGTTCATGGACGGTGACGTCACCCGGCCGGTGATCGTCCAGCGCGAGTGGATCCCCAACACGTTCCACTTCGACAACGTGGGCAAGGCCATGCTCACTCTCTTCACCGTCTCCACCTTCGAGGGCTGGCCCGGGTGAGTTCGGCGGCGGGCTCGCTTCCGGCGCCTCCAGGGCCGGCCATGCTGGAGTGCCTTGCGGGCGTTGCTTCTTGGACTCGGTGAGATGCCGACGTTGTGGGCCGTGCCCGGACAGCTGCGACTGTGCCTCTGCCCTGGGTGGACTGGGCGGCGCTAAGTGCGTGTTGCGGCCGCCCTCACGCCGGCCTGCTGGCGCCAGCCGGGAGTCGGCGGTCGTGCCGAGAGGTTTGATGGACGGCCCGCCTCCACAGGCTGCTGTACACCTCGATCGACTCGCACACGGAGAACGAGGGCCCCATCTACAACTACCGGCCGATGGTGGCCGTATACTACTTCATCTACATCATCATCATCGCCTTCTTCATGGTCAACATCTTCGTCGGTTTCGTTATCGTCACATTCCAGAGCGAGGGAGAGCAAGAATACAAAAACATTGACCTGGACAAGAATCAGGTTTGTCGTGGCCGCTTGGCTTCGCGTCGGTACAAGAGTTTGCTCTGCTGCTATGTTGGCAAGGCTCCAACGGACGGGTCCCATCATTAAATGTCTCCCCTACCGACTGCCAACTCCACACCGTCATGCCTGTGCACTCCCACACGCCATCTGGCTGCGACAGCGTCTGTGCGTCTGTCACGGCTGGCGCCCAGCGCTCTGTTCTCGCAACCATTACCGCATCGACGTCGCATGTCCCGCCCTGTACCCGTCACGTGGGCGTATTGCATTACTCCTGCCCGCACTGCGTGTCGCGTCTGCTGTAACAGCGTGCCGCAGTGGGTCAGTGCCAGTGTTAATGTCAGTCGGTGGCTCACCGGGGCCTGCGCCCGCCGTTCCAGCGTCTGCTCTCACAGTGTGCCACAATGTGTCAGTGTCAGTGTCAGTCGGCGGCTGACCTGGGGCCGCGCCCGCCGTTGCCAGCGCAACTGCATCGAGTTCGCGCTGAAGGCGCGCCCCGTTCGGCGCTACATCCCCAAGCACCGGCTGCAGTACCGCGTCTGGTGGTTCGTCACCTCACAGCCGTTCGAGTACTTCATCTTCGTGCTCATCCTCTGCAACACCATCACGCTGGCGATGGGCTTCTACCAGCAGCCGGATGAGTACACCGAGGCGCTGGACGTGCTCAACCTCATCTTCTCGTCGGCGTTCGCCGTCGAGTGTGTCCTCAAGCTGATGGCCTTCCGCTTCAAGGTGAGCTGGTGCGCGCAGGCCGATCGCCTGGTCGTGTCTCTGTTTTCGGTGTTAAATGTTTGGTGTCAATTCATTCTGCTCATCCTTGATGTCTTACATTTGACGTATGACAAAAATCAATTGAGGCATGCGCCTGCTGGCGGCGGCTTGCTTGTGTAGGATTTCGTGTCTCTCATGTGCCGTGTGTGTGTTTCAGAACTATTTCAGCGATCCGTGGAACGTGTTTGACTTCATCATCGTGCTGGGCTCGTTCATAGACATCATCCTCGGAGATCTGTTGGTAAGTCAGCCTGAGTTTATCGGTCTGAGTCTGTCAGTTTGAGTCTGCGTCGGCGCGGTCCGTGTGGTGCCCGACGGACGTGGCGGGTGCTCTCCGGGCCTGATTGTGAGCCCGTCTGTCCAGGATTTGTCCGCCTCTCTGCCGTGTCCGGCGAGTAGCCAGCCTGCGGGCCATGGTTGCGCGCGGCGCGTCTATCTCGGTACCGTGCTGCCGGCGGCCTGTGGAGCCGCCGTCGTCCTGCCGGGCCGGGTCGGCCGGTCGGCGCTGGGGCGCTCCGCCACTGGCTGAGATCGGCCCTCGGCTCCGTCGGAGGTGCGCGCACGCCTGGCTTCGCCGCCGTGCCGTTGCCGAGTAGTCAGTCACCGTCGCCCGGGGACGGCCGTGCCCCGCTAGCCGCGTCGCGTCGACGCAGCCGCGGCCGTGACGGCGCCCTCTCCGCTCCAGCCCAGCAAGCAGATGATCAGCATCAACTTCTTCCGGCTGTTCCGCGTGATGCGCCTGATCAAGCTGCTGTCACGCGGCGAGGGCATCCGCACGCTGCTCTGGACCTTCATCAAGTCGTTCCAGGCGCTGCCGTACGTGGCGCTGCTCATCGTCATGCTCTTCTTCATCTACGCCGTGGTCGGCATGCAGGTGAGGTGGCCGCCGGCTGCGCGGGCCCGGCGCCTGCCGCGTGTCGGCACGTCCGGGCGAGCGCGGCACTGGTCCCTGTCGGTGCGCTGGCGCGGGGAGGCGGGGTAGCTTGTGGTGTGCGCCGCACCTCTGCCGTCGCTGCGGATGACCTGAGGCCGTCCGCTGCCTTTCTGCAGCATGGCGTGTGACTTGGGCAGCGGGGGCAGCCGGCGTGCGTTGCCACGGCCTGGCTGTCGCCGACAGTCGACATTGCTGTCAGCCTCGCTGCCTTGATTCGCCGCCGCCCGGCGCCGGTAGTTTCCTCAGTCCGTGTGCTGTCCCGGTCTGTCTGGCTGCCGGTCCTTTGCCGCTGCATTCCTTCGTCTGTGGATCCGTGTGTGTCCATCCGTTCTTGTGTTTGTACACATGCTCACTCATTACCTTTTCGATCGTTCGGTCGTCGCGTCGCTCTGCCGCTTGCCCGCCCGCCTTCAACTCGCGTGTGTCTGTGGTAGGTGTTCGGCAAGATCGCCATCGATGACGACTCGTCGATACACCGCAACAACAACTTCCAGACGTTCCCGCAGGCGGTTCTGGTGCTCTTCCGCTCTGCCACCGGTGGGTGATAGCCGAGAGCCTCAGAGTTTGGGCGGCCGCGCGTCCACGCGGCGGCGGTGGCCAGTCGCAGAGCTGCAGGGTTTATGTGGAACCGGGTCCGGCCCGACCGCAGGGCCGCGCAGTTTGTGGCCGGTCGCAGAACTGCAGGGTTGATGTGAGCCAGGTCCGGCCCGACCGCAGGGCCGCGCAGTTTGTGGCCGGTCGTAGAGCTGCAGGGTTTATGTGGAGCCGGGTCCGGCCCGACCGCAGGACCGCGCAGTTTGTGGCCGATCGCAGAACTGCAGGGTTGATGTGAGCCGGGTCCGGCCCGACCGCAGGGCCGCGCAGTTTGGTTTGGGTGGCCGCGGGTCCGCGCAGTTTGTGGCCGGTCGCAGAGCTGCAGGGTTTATGTGGAGCCTGGTCCGGCCCGACTGCAGGGCTTCAGAATTTGGGTGGCCGCGGGTCCGCGCGGCGGCTTCAGCTGATCGCAGAGCTGCAGGGTCTGTCTGGTGGCGGGTCCGGCTTGACCGCCGAACCACAGAGCTTGAGATGTTGTAAGCGAGTATTAAGCACCGCAGAGACGGGCGACGGACCGGTCTGAGAGGGCTGTCTGCGTGCTCATCTGTGGTGATTTTGACTGTGTCCAACTGGTGTGCAGTATCTGAATGTGTCGAGTGACTGTGTTCAGCTGGGGTACCGGTGTCTGAATGTGTCGAGCTCCTGATGTTCGGGCCGCGGAGCCTTGGCTCTGAACTGACGCATCTATCTTACCCGGGAGGGCTGTAACGTATGCTACATGTACCGCGTCAATCAAATTATCGTCTGTTGACATCTCTCGATGTTCCAAATGGTGGGTGCGGAGGCGCGTTTTCTCTGACCCGTGACCTCTGCTGACCTCCGATGACCTCTGCTGATCCTCGCTTCTGGCCGATGTGACCAGGTGAGGCGTGGCAGGACATCATGCTGGCCTGCCAGGATGGGCTTTGTGACGAGCACTCGGACGAGTCGCCGACGTCCAAGTGTGGCACCGTCTTCGCCGTACCGTACTTCGTCAGCTTCTACGTCCTCTGCTCCTTCCTGGTGAGCGGGAGTAATACTCAGTCGCGGACTGACTCCGGAAGACATGGACTGGTCGTCGCATGACGCCCATCTGGCAAGTTGAAATTTAACTTTTTCTGCGCCGGTGCGCAGCAATGGCTGCGACGCTGCCAGCAGCGGCCGGTCGCCTAGGGTTCACGGCTTCACTGGTTGGTCTTATCCCAGTCGTCGTGATGGCTGCCCGTCGCTGTGCTTAAGCTATTTTTATAAGGTTTCTCAGAACTGTCCCGCGATAACATCGTATCGACTGAGTTCATTGGGGTCATTGGGGTTCGCCGCGTGCAGCGCCGGACGCTCTGACTGGCTCCAGCCCGCCGCCGGGTCATGAAGGACTGCTCTGACTGGGATTTGAGGCGCATTAGGTGGACATCCCGTTTGTGATAGCTCGTAGACATTAGACGGATGGATTCCAAGAAGAGGGCGCTTAATATGTAGCGCGTATGTCGTCACCAAGTTGCCTCGACACGTCAAACTCGCCTAAGATCACCGCTTGTAAAAGTGTCCACCTCGCAGGACCGCAGTTACTCCTGGAATTTGCTTGCGGGACGAGGATGTTTTGGACACACAATCTCAGTGTGACGTGGTGTCTCAGATGGGGGGCATTGTACCGATCAGCGCGCACGCGCCGCGACAGCGGTAGCGTGTACTGGCACGCTGTGCCCTGCCACCAGCCGCCCTCGCCCGCTCAGCTGGGCCGATCTCACGCTGACACCGCCGTGTCGCCAGGTGATCAACCTGTTCGTGGCCGTCATCATGGACAACTTCGACTACCTGACGCGCGACTGGTCCATCCTGGGTCCGCACCACCTGGACGAGTTCGTGCGCCTCTGGTCCGAGTACGACCCGGACGCCAAGGGCCGCATCAAGCACGTGGACGTGGTTACGCTGCTGCGCAAGATCTCGCCGCCGCTCGGCTTCGGCAAGCTCTGCCCGCACCGGGTGGCTTGCAAGCGGCTCGTCTCCATGAACATGCCGCTGAACGCCGACGGCACCGTCATGTTCAACGCCACGCTGTTCGCCGTGGTGCGCACGTCGCTGCGCATCAAGACGGACGGCAACATCGACGACATGAACACCGAGCTGCGCGCCATCATCAAGAAAGTGTGGAAGCGCACGTCGCCGAAGCTGCTGGATCAAGTGGTCCCGCCACCAGGCGGTGAGGGTGGTAAGGGAGTATGCGCAGCCTGCATCTTGCCCCGGATGTGGCGTGCTTACCTCCCTGACTAAACGCGGCGCGGACAGGGGCGGCGCCGGCGGCGGCGGGCCCCGGCTTCAGCGGCCAGCGCGCCGGGCCGCTCAGCTGCAGCCGGCCGGCGGCTCCGGCCGCTCAGCCTCAGCCGGTCGGCGGCTCTGGCCGCTCAGCCTCAGCCGCCGCGGCCCTCGTCGGCCGGCCAGCTCGGCGCCCGCCGCCGCCGGCGCAGCGGCGGCCGGTCGGCCGCGGCGCGGTGGGACGGCGCGCGCCGCCGGGTCCGCACGGGTTCGGTGCGGTCGTGGCCGGCTCCCGGCCTCTAGCCGTGGACCGTCTGTCCCGCCTGGCCACTCGCTGGCGCGCGCCGCCCCACGGCCGCGCACCGAGCGCGACCATTCCCGCGATCTCACAAAGACTGCGTTGGGAAATCGCTAGAATGGTCGTGGCTATATAGAGGTTAGATAGAAGACAGGTCAATTTAAGAGTTGTGCGCAGGTTTAGGTGTAGCAGAAGTATTGTTTCGGAAGGTTTAGATTAGAAGGCCAATGTGTACGGGTACTTCTTGCTACCGGCATTCAGAGCATCGGCCTGTAATAGGCCGGAATGTCGCCGGCGGGCTGTGTGTTAGTACATCGACGTTTGCATGCGGCAGTGTCATCGCCTAGGACGTGCATATGCGTGCTGTTGTTTTGACTGGCGGGTTAGCCCCGCCATGGCCACTGTGTCCAGTTTTGAAGCGTGAGTTTCTGCACGTACCTCGTGACTGTGTCTAACAACCTAACGGCCTCCGGCGATGGCGTTGCGCAGCTACTCGCCGTCCCCTCCCGCCGTCTGTACATGTGCATGTGTGTGTTGGAGAGCTCGTGCACTGCTGTGTGCCTCCCGGCGTGCTGTCGGCCGCGCGCGGTCAGCCCCAGCGCCCCAGGGTCGGCTGCTGGCGGGACCACCAGCCGACGTCGGCACGCGCTTTTTGTCCGCTCTTGGCGCCAACTCGTGATCACGTTGGACTCTGCTGGTGCTGTCTCTCTGGAGTCCTTGCTGACTTTGTGGGCTCCGTCTCTGCAGCTGCTCTGCCGGTGCAGTCTGTCCGCCGGCCGCCTTGACTCTGTCTTTCCGTGGGTCAGCTGACCTCCGGCATAGCTTTGGCCGGCTGTCTGTCGCCGGCTGCGCAGACTCAGATCAGGCGACCCTGCTGACTGTCGCGTAGCTGACTGTCGCGCAGCCGACTGTCGCGCAGCTGACGGTCGCGCAGCCGACGGTCGCGCGGCTGACGCTCGTCTGATGGCTCTGCTCTGGTCCTGGTCACCGCGTGGGCAGCCGTCTGCTGATTCTGCCGAGCAGCTCGGCGTCTGCCGGCCGTGGTCGGTCGGGGACCAGCTGAGCGGCGCCGGTCCGCGGGCTCGGGTCGCCCCGCGCCGCCCCCGCGGAGCCCGTCCGGCCGCTCACGCCGCCCGCCCCCGCCCCGTTGCAGTGGAGGACGACGTGACGGTGGGCAAGTTCTACGCCACCTTCCTCATCCAGGACTACTTCCGCAAGTTCAAGAAGAAGAAGAAGGACGAGCACTCGCGCGCGCAGGGCGAGGCCGACACGACGACCGTGACGCTGCAGGTACGCTGTCGGCGGCGCCGCCGGGCGCGGCCGGCTCGCCGGGCGCAACGCAAAAGCCCGGCCGGCGCCGCCGGGCTGCGGGGCGGGCTTCACCGGAGCTGCCGGACCGTCCAGTGCCGTACGTGCTGACCGCCGATGGCCCGAGGTGGGCTGGCCAGCGACCAGTCCGTGTACGACACGTGTGAGGCGGAACACTGCCTGTCGACGAGGTCCTGGCTGTGACCCTACCGACTCCGTGACGCTTCCGGTTTGGTGGGCTTTGTTGTATACCATTGGAAGGTGGCGTCACCTTTCTTGGGGTTTACATCGAGTGCTTTCTGCCATCGTGTCACCCTGGCCCGCTCCTCCCGCCGTCGCCCATAGGATGTGTTTTCCGGCCTTCTCTTTCCTTACAATGTCCAGTGTGTTCGTGGGTGGGTGTATTGGCACACTGACGGCATGCGCCCAGTTTGTGGTATGCACAACAGCTCGGCAGACTACCCCGTGACTGAGGGCCCTCTTCGGCTGTGTTGTGCCCCGCTGTCCGACCGTGTCCGGTGCCCCGCTGTCCGGCCGTGTCTGATGCCCCGCTGTGCGGCAGGCGGGCTTGCGCACTCTGCACGAGGCTGGGCCCGAGCTGAAGCGCGCCATCTCCGGCAACCTGGACCAGATGCTGGCGGAGGACACGCCCATGCACCGGGTGAGCTCCCCGCCCCGCCCCCGCCGCGGCCGACAGCGGGGGCGCGAGGCTGTCTCACCAGACGCGGCCAGCGCCGTCTGCCCCTCCGCCTGTTGCAGCAGCGACAGCTGTCACGCGCAGTCACCGGCATCGGCCGGGGTCCGAGCTGTCCTCGCATGGTGAAGGCTGTCCCCGCGGAACAGCGGCGTTGCAGTCGGTGGGGAGGCGTACACGGCGCAGCACGGCGCTCAGCGCGGGCTTTCGGTGTTATGGCTGCTTTGTTTGGCAACACTGTTTGTGTGCACCAGGAGTATGGCCCGCCCCTCCAATGGGTCACGGGGCGGGGCTGTCGGTGACCTGGCTGCACGTCAGAGCGGGCGTCCGTCGCCGCCGGCGGTCACGTGGTCTGACGGGCGCCTGGCCGTCGCGTCTGGCTGGTCCGGAACGGCGTCAACGCTCAGCTGGCTGCGGGGTGGCCGGTCGGCGTTTGCTCGCCCCGCCTGTGCTGGGCTGGTCACTGTCCGTGTCGCCGGGATGTGTCACCTGATCAGCCCCTGCCGTGTCGTCGGGATGTGTCATCTAATCAGCCGGTGGGACAGGAGCCGGCCGCCGTTGTGCCGCCGACTGCCTTGACCCCGGTCGTGTCGCTCGTGGGAGGGTGCCGGGTATGGTCCCGTCGCCCGAGCGTGGGCCGTCACTGGTTGTCCGTCCCCGATGGAGGGGGGGGGGGGGGGGCGCCACCAGTTTGGCCACGCGCCGTACTGTGCTGTCTCAGGCTGGCGAGTGAGCTCTGGGGATGGTCCTGCCTCCTGCTGTCGGCGCCAGTCCGCTTGGGGCCTATCGAGTGTGAGCGCTTGTGATGCCGTCCCTGGTGTCGACACCAGCGGTGATTCGTCCCAGGCGTGTGGCGGTCGGTGAAGACCGTGCGCCGGCCGCGGCCGTTTCGTGTGGGTGTGCGTGCGTGCGTGTTCGTGTGCGTACGTGTTTGAACATCTGTCTTGGTCCCCGCGCGGCTGCACCACCAGTTGTATGTCGGCGCCTCACCCACGGCCTGGTGCCGCCACCGCTGCTGTCGCGTGGGGTGGGCCACCGGCGCGGACGCGTCCCCTGCCGGCGGTGCCCGGTCAGCCGCGCCGCGCCGCCGCCGCCGACGCAGCCGTTTGACCAGCTGCCTGTCCTGTCAGCGCAATCACATGCTGTTCGGCCGGGTGTGGTCGAGTTTCCGCAGCAAGAACCGCCAGGCGAGAGCCGCGCGGTCGGCAGCGCCGGCTACAGTAAGCGCCGCGCCACCGCGCCCCTGTCCGTCCGTCCGTCCGTCCGTCGGCTCGACGCGCCCAGCACCCGCACCGTGTGCCGTCTGTGTAGCGCTTCTTCTGACCCTCTAGCCCCACGTCATGCGGGGAGCGTGTGGCATGGAGTGAGCTCACCGGTGCGTTCATGTCGCCCCGCCCTGCCTCCCTCTCTCCCCTTCCCCTCCCCTTCTCCCCTCCCTCCCCTCCCCTCCCCTCCCCTCCACTCCCCTCCCCTCCCCTCCCTGTCCTTCATTCTCCCCTTCCCTCCCTCCCTTCCTCCCTCCCCCGTTCGTGTTGTTTGCTGCTTGTTGGTGCTTTGTGTGATGTCTGTGTTGTTTGTGTGTTAAATGGCCGCGCTCTGACCGCTTGCGGAGGTCAGCAGCGCTGCTCTTAGACCCTGACGTTCAAACGGCTGTGTGACTCAGTTGCAGCGTTGTTGTTGGTTGCTGGCTTGCGTTGGTGTGCGTTTGATGTGCCGCTTGCGTTCGTGTTTGCACGGCTACGGTACGCTACTGCGCGGCAGACAAACATTGGCTTCTCAACTGTGTTGTATTTTCTGACCCATGCCTGCTATTTCTAGCTGTCAACACGTTTGCCTGTACGCTGTTTCTTTTTTCGTTGCTGCTCCGTAGTTTGGATTCTGCTATCGGACTCCGCTAGCAATCGCTGCGGGAGGTGTCCTCAAGAGCCTCCGTGTGTTTTCTGGTCTTGAGTGTCATCTGAACCGTCTCGAGTATAATACTGGCAATACCGGTCACAAGGTGTATACTACTGCAACATCCTGTAAGCAATGAACTCAATGCTCTGAAGCAATGGAGAGCTTTGCATAGACCCAGCCTTGATTTAATTGCACCGGAGTCGATTCTGAATCCTATTGGTCGGCATATCTCATTGTCTCTGACTGAATGCAAGCAACACAGTACATTTTTGGGTTGAGTCCGTTTCCGACTCATGGACGGGCCATGGTTGAATCCGAGATTAATTCCGATGAAAGTAGTCGAGATATGTAGGTTTGTGCATGGTGTAGAAAACCCCGTTGGACACACCTTTGGTAATGAAACGGAAATGTCTCATCTTCATTTGTTGCACTTGTTGCACTTGTAAGGGTTGCCCGAACAGCATCGTCTTCTTAAAGATTCAGTGCGAACCTTTGATTGGATTTATTTCCGCCATAATCTTCAACGCTAAGCAGGGCTTCTGTGAGCCCCGCCCCACCTTGGCATTGTGAAATTCCCGGTCAACTGCGGAATTTTGCGGCGAAAGGTCTAACGTGCCCGAATATTCAGCGCGCTCCGTCCTGCGCTCTGCGTCAGTTGACTTTTAGCTCGGGTGTTGCCATCGGCTGCAAGCCATCTCAGTCCGGGACAATTAGCGAGCGCCTGAAGCAGCCTGAATCCATCCCGCCACGGGTTTTTACATTGGGGGGGGGGGGGGGGCAGACGCTCTGACCAAGCGGGTTGTCGGGACGGACAGCGTGTTTGACGACCGGCCTGGCTGGCTGGCGTTGGTATCAGTCGGAGCTGGCTCTGGCGTCAGCTGGAGCAGGACCGGAATTACGGTGTGTGGTCGCTGTCAGCGCTCAGCGTTGTACTCGCCAGGAGACCGGGTTGCTGAGTCGAACATGCGCAAGGCTGCACTTACCAAACTCGAACACGGCGTATGGGAGGGCGAACATGGCCTATACAGCGTATTTGCTTCCAATTTTGAAGTACGATTGTTCGGCGTGACTTGTCTCCCTTCGTTTAAAAGTCATGCAATGGTTACACTGCTTCGGGTTCCGGCTGGCACGCTAGAATACATTTGTTCCGTAGTGTGCTTTAAAGTATATGCTCTGCGCAGAGCATCGATGTGACGTCATCCTGTCGATGCATTCAGCGTGTCAAGCTGCATGACTGATGTATCTGAACAGCGGCACGTAGTTTGGAATGATGGAGCTTCGCTGCACGTGCCGTTTGGCCGCTACCTAGCAGGCAGGGCGGTGTTCCATTTCGTAATGATTAATGATGCCCTCACTGACATGTAAGCTTCCTCGCATGTATTTTGCCCACATAAGCCCTTTGCCTTGGAGCCGTCGTTGCTGTTCGGAACTCGTATGAGCGCCCTTTGCGCCATATCAATCGACCTGCATGTGTACCGGCCCGCAGTGTGAGGGGCGGCGACCTTCAGACTGGCAGTTCGCGTAGTCTCATGTAGACCCACCCCGCCGTGGCGACCGTGGCCACATGCGGACACTGCCTCCCTTCGCCCGTCGTCTGACCTGGCGTGACCTGAGGTGACCCGCCCCCAGACCAACAACGGCCACCACCTGCCGGTGAACGGCGGCGGCGTGGCCCGCAGCAGTTCCGGCGACGGCGAGACAATCCCGCTACAGACCCTGCAGCCGCCCGGCAGGTAGGCGGCGAGCGGGCCGGCGGGCGGGTGGGCGCAGTGCCACGCCGGGCCGGGCCGGGCCCAGCGCGTGCGGTGGCTAACGGAGCCCACTGGCTGAGGGCGGCGCTGGGGCCGTGCTGTCGCCGTCTCGCAGTGCGCGCCCTGTTCTGGCCAGCGTGTGGTGCCGCCGTTCTCACCCGACTTATGCGCTTTCCAGAACGTCTGCGAATTTTTTGAGCCCTAACGATGGTAAGAGTACAGGCGTGTGCGCCGGTGCGCGGCGCCTCCTTGGTTGCCGATTGGAGTGGCCCTTGGTTTGTACCGTGTGCGCTCGCCCCGTTTTCGCCGCCGTTTTGGCGTAGCCTCGACAGCGTCCCGCACGACAGCGCAGGCCGCCGGCGCCGGCTGGCCGGCCGCGGGCTAACACCGTGCGTGGTGTGCTGTGGTCACCGACTAACGGGCCAGTGCGCGGCGCAGGGCGTGCCGCAGCAGCCACTGCATCCCTCTGCTGGGCGAGGGTCTGCGCGAGCTGGCCCGCACGCAGGCCTTGGTGCTCACCAGCCTGTCGCCCTCACCGCCGCCCGGTCTAGGTCAGCAGCGGCGCCCGCTGTCGTCGCCGCCGCCGCCGTCTCGCGGGGGCCGGACGGGCGCCTTGTCGCCGCTCTCTGTCTGTCCTGTCCCAGCTTCTGTAGCTCGCGTCGGCTGGTTCTTCTGTTGCCAGCTGAGCGCCCGTGCCGGGCTGGTGGCGCTGCGCCGCGGCCCGGCCCTGCTTCTGCGTCCCCGCATGTCCCGGTCGGTCAGATGATGCATGTCGCCTGCCTGCCTCACGTCCGCGCCGTCTGCCCTGCACTGCCGGGCGCCGATCCACGCTCGGCCCCACGGCTGCCGTGTGCTGCGTCTCTCTGTGTGCTGCCTTCGGCTGCGCTGTACCTGCCGTGGGAGCGACCTCTCGCCGTGTGTATCATAGCAGTCGGAGTGGTGATGTGGTGGCTTGCTGGCCGTGCTCAGGGATGCTGTTTGATGCCAGGTCGCCATGAAAGCAGGCGGGCTGTTGGCTGCTTGAAGTCTACCAAAGTCACGTTCCTTGTCGTCACCGGAACGTACCTTGTTGGGTGAATGCTTCACATGGGGCGCTCGGTTGTAAAGTACTTGCGTGTGGTTGTAAACTACATACGCTGACCTTGCGGTGTGGTAACCGTGACGCCTCGCTGCGAGGTGGCGGTGCTGCTAATGTGATGTGACGCCGTTCAAGCACACTGGTGCCTCTGCCACTCCCTGCGTCGTTTAGTCTGTTATCTCTCTGTTTTGCGGCTCTTTGTGACCGTGCCTTCTTCGATGGCCGGGCTGGCCAGCACTGACGACTCAGTCTAGTAGCGGTGATACGTTAACGAATCAGCGGGCACCGGCACTCTGCCTGGCGCCGCGCACGTGCGATACACGCGGTGCTGGTCACTGCGGAGCGTCCGATGGCTCTGGTGGGGGAGCCTGTCGCGCACCGTGCATGTCCGACACAGCCGACTTCAGCGGCTCCGTCTGACCCCGCCGCTAGTGCCCGAGGCCACGCTGGCCCCAGTGACACCGTCGCCGTCTGAGGCTGGCCGTGTCCACCGCGGGCGCCTGTCGGTGTCGGTGCAGCGGGCGCCGGCCGGCGCAACGCCTCGCGCCGCCTGACGTTTACCGTGTCGTTCCAGTGCCGAGCAGCCACCGCCGGCCGGGCGGTGAGGGCGCGGCCGGCGGCGGCGCCCTGTCGCGCTCGGTGCCCAGCAGCCCGCACCAGCGCCACGTCCGGCCCGACCGGCCCCTCTCGGAGGTGGTCGGGTCTGCCGACAGTCTCGTCGGCCGGGTGAGTGACCGCCCACCGTCGGCGAACGGGCAGGGTTAGAGGCTCGCGCGCGTGCCCAGTGGGACCGCCCACGGGTGCTCGGGAGGGGAGCTGGAGCGCCCTCTCGATGCCCTCAGCGGGCGGAGTGCCTGTTCTCTTGGCCCAGTAGGATCCAGGCGCGAGTGCTCCTGAGTACGGCTCGGTGCCTCTCGGTCTCTGAGAAAGTGTGAGTGACTTTCAGTACGCAGTTAGGGAAGCTGAATGTCATCGTGGACAGTTTGAGTGTGCTGCCAGTCTCTTCGGGGCAAGGGAAGTATCTAGTGGTTTATACTGGCCGACGTGATAACAAAATATATGATCTCTGTGAGTCTTGCTACCGATGGGCACACCAAAAAACTAGGGCGAGTATGTTTACACTGAACTGGAACGGTGTGAACAGCGGCACGTTCCTCTCACCAGAAGTGGCACGTCTCAAGTATCGCCGCTGTCTGTCCGCGTGCCGGCGAGGCTCAGAGTGGCGCGTTGACCGACGCCTGGCCTCTCGGCTGACGGCTGCGGCGCGCCTCCGCCGCCAGGTGCTGGCTGACCAGGGCCTGGGCGCCTACTGCGACGACCCGCAGTTCGTGCGCACCGCCAGCCGAGAGCTGCAGGAGGCCATGGACATGACGCCCGAGCAGCTGGACCGGGCGGCGCACGCCCTGCTCACGCGCACGCCCTCGCCCCGGTAGCGGCGCCTCCCCGCTCGCCCTCGCCCGGCGGCCACAAGTGCCTCTGCAGGCGGCGCGCCCCGCCCCGCCCCCCACTTTGTGATACGCCCGGCGCGCGCGCGCGTTCCGCCGCTCCAGTCTAGTCCCTCTCTGCTCAGGAGGCGATGCCCGGCGTCCGCTCAGGCCCCGCCGCCCCGGCGCGCGCCCGGACTCCCCGTTTTTGTACCGTAGTCGGCTCGGTAGCGCCGAGCGACCTGGCGTGTTGGTGAGAGGGTATACTGTCTCCGGAGGTCGTTTGTACATAGCGGTTCTCGCTCTGAGGTGCGGCACCGCCGGGGTACCGCTCCGGCGGAGGCGGCGCCCAGCGAGATCATGGACCATTATATGTCTTTCCCATCAACCGTCGCTTGCACTCTAACGTCTCGGCCAACTAGTCCCACAGCGCGCCGGCTGCTGGCCAGTGCCTGAGGTTACCAGCACAAACCATTCGTCCATTTTTCACCTTGTCGTCGTTGGTGACGTCACTGGCGTTTCTCGTCGTTGATTGGCTGCGCTTTTTGATTGGCTGCAGCGTCGCCTTTTAACCCGGCTAGGTCTGGCTCGCTCCCGGGCATCCACGGCCGACCTCGCCCCGGAACCTTTAGAAATGTTGCTGCTGGATCAGGAACTTAGTACATGTTGACGGCGGCGCGGTCCGCGTGGTTTGAAGGGCGCGTTTGTTGCGCAGTATTTGTCGCTTAAGGCATGCCCCGTTTTTGCATCGTTTGCAAGGTTTTGTGATGGGCGACGGGGCGAGTTCCCTGCATGGAGGCGTGCGACGGCCGCGCGGTTGGACGATGGGTTTCGTACTTTGCCTCACGCGTGTGTGTGTCGTGTTTGGAGCCCGCCCCCGCCCGTGGCCGCGGGGCCGGCCGCTACACAGTGCAATCGGGCTGGTCTGAGCCGCCCGCTGTGGCGCCCCGCCAGCGGCTGGCGGGGCGCGCGGCGCCCCCACCACCCGCCTCTCGCCGCGCCGCCGCGCCTGCCCGCCACAGTGGTGCCAAAGCGGGCCGGGCGGCGGCGGCGCGGCCGGCCCGCTTCGTCCGGCCGAATACTCAGTGGCGGCACGAGCCTGCCGCGCCCAATCAAAATAGGCGCCGCCGCGCCGGCCGGCCGGCGCCGTGGTGCGCCTCATTGGACATTTATCGCGAGGCAAGTCTTACTCCAGCGACGTAATACATACTGTCCTCCCAGGAGCGCTGCGTTTGTGAGCCGGCGGGGAGTGGTGGCGGTGGTGGTGGTGGCGCCGACACTGGCCGGCCCCCAGCCGAGCCGCCTGCAGTGGACAGGCGTACCCGGGCGAGAACATCAAGTTCATTTCCGATCGGGGTCACGAAGTCCCCCGATCAGATGACGCCAGCGGCTCGGTGCGGACGTTCGCCTCGCGTGATACAAGAAACATCTTACCGAAAGACTGACTGAACTTCGTGCGGAATGCTGTTTAACTCTAAATGCATCGTTCGGCTACGAGGAGCCAAGGGTCGAAGTGCGGACCGGCAAAGTACGCAGTGGACCGCTTTGTGGCTGGAGCATTCGAGCACGTATTGACAAAACGGCATGGCGCGTCGCCTGCCGCTCGTCGCCCCTCAGGCCCACGAGTATGGCGTGAGGAACAAGTCTCCCTCCATGGTCTTGACGCCCAGGCCCCGTCGTCTTTGCGACCCAGCCCAGCGCAGAAGGGGTGCGAAGGTACCATCATACTCTCAATCGCTGACGTCCCCCGCGCCCGTGGTGCGCGTTCCCGCGCCGCTGGCCGGCACTGACGCGTTCGGTTCGGTCTCCTTCTGCCTGGATATCAGACCGCGGACTGAGACAACGATCCGTATGAGCAACGTTTATTGCAGAATTATGGCTTGATTCTTCGCAAAGGTCTGGGTCCCTCGACGCGTTCCGATCCGCAAGCATTTCGGGGCTCAGGCCACACGCCAACGCCCCGATGTTATCATACAACTTATTCTAAACGCACGTGCCCAGGTGCATTAAAAACAAATTAAATTAGCGCAAGCACCAGCAGGCTCGATTCGTGTGAATCGTCGTCGCGCTTTTGGCCATCAAAAAACAACTCAATTCCTGCCACGGAAATGCAGCGGTACGTGATAAGACAAAATTCGCTGCCCCCTGAAATTACGAGGGCGTTTTAAACAAGGGCCTCGGACCATCGCCCGAGTTCCCTGCGAGCACTGCACGGTGCTTGGCCTTAATCTACCCATATTACATGAGCTGCAATCGCAGAATCCCGGGATACGCAAATCTAAACCTAATCACTCGAATTACCAACCGGCGCACAGCAAGCCCTCGAGGTCCAGACAACCGTGGTCCTCGAGATCCGGACTACCGTGGTCCTCGCGGTGCGGACTGGCGCCGGCTGGACTGGGCCTCCCGGACGCTACGGACTGGGCGAGGCACAGGCGGCGGCGGCGGGCGCTCCAGCCCCGCGCCGGCAGCCGCGCGTCGCGCCACGCCATGTAGGGACAGGGGCCGATGGTTTGCAATGTGGAGGGGCACGGGGAAAGTGCGAGCAGTTTATCAGAGGGTCAGCTCGAAATCGCTTCTGATCGAGGCGGCACGGAGAGGCGAGGCGAGGCCTGCTCCCACTCCGGCGCCAGGAAATCACAACAAAGCGCGACGCCTGGGCGAGCGGACACTCCACAAAATGCTAGTTCCACGAGCGGGCGAAAGAGAGCAGGTCGGTCGGACCGCCCGGTGACTGAGTATTGGCTCTCGCGCCCAGCGAGCGTGCCGTGCGGGGCCGGGGTAGGGTTACTGAGACCGACCGCACGTCCCACACGTGCCCGTCCATCACGGCAAAGGACTGCCAGTGGGCTGCACCGTAACGAACCTAAAACAGCGCTACGACGGCCGGCGGCCCGCACAAGGCCGCGGCGCTAAGAGGCTAGCCACCATCGTAACCCAACGGCCTGTTGAGACGCAACTTAGGACACCAGTCGGCGCAGCGGCACCTCCGCAGCGACGCCGCCGCCACACACCTACAGCAAACACGAATGCTAAAATAAAGGGTTCTTCCTATAAAGGCATGCAACAAACGCTCCTCACGAAAACAAAGGGTACTTCTTGCACTAGCGCGCCGCCGACGGAGCAAGTCTGGCGCGCGCACGCTGTCCGGTGGGCTCCATCCACGCCGGGCGCCAGCGGGCGACGCGAGGGGTGTCGCGCCGCAGCGCGCCCGGGTGCCGGGCTGGCCGCTCAGTAGATGGCCGGCGGGTGGCCGTGGTGGCCAGCCAGTCCGTAGCCGTCGTACATGCCGTGGTGGTCGAAAGCGGCTGGAATGTCCGGCACGGTCAGCGACGGAGCAGCACACAGCGCACACGCCCAACACACTCGCAGAGACGTCGCGCTGTGCCGCGGCGAGACGTATGAGGACCGGCCGCGGCGCGCCGTTGGGGGGGGGGGGGGGACCGCTGCGGGCCGCTGCTGGGGTCGGCGAGCGGTCGTCAGTGCGAGGCCCGTGATAGTGCAAGCTCGCAAACATTCCCGGCTCTCGATCAAAACCAACGGCCAGCACAGGAGAGGCGCAAGTCGTTCGCAAGCGCTTCGACGGGGCTACCTCATACCGATGGAGCTCCCCCATACACCACCCGGGGTGCTGTCACCGACACCTGCAGCCAGTGCAAAGCGTCACAAGCGGCGGCGTCACCGACAGACCGCGGGACGAGCCGGGCGGATCCACTTACGGATCACTTTGCCGAACAGGCAGGGGTTGTACATGAACTGGTAGGCGCCGTTGTAGCCGCCAGGGCTGCCGTTTGGAGAGGGCGTGCTGTACCCGGCGGCTGCCATCGGGCGCGACAGCATGGCCTGGGGCGGCGAGCCAGCGCCCTCGCCTGTCAGCCGACGACGGGCACGGGTCAGTCCGGCGGGCACGGGTCAATCCGACAGGGATGGGTCAATCCAGCGGGCGCGGGTCAATCCGGCGGACTCGGGTCAATCCGACAGGGATGGGTCAGTCCTGCGGGGATGGTCAGCCCGGCGAGAACAGGTCAGTCCACGAGGACGGGGCAGCCGACGGGGACGGGTCAGACCGGCGGAGCTCCGGCTCCCCGGCTGACACGCTGACCCTTCCACCGGCTGTTGACCTGCTGCTACTATGAACACGGGCGCAGGTAACGTTCCACGTACTGCGTCTATGCGCAGTGGCAGCACAGTGCTAGCCACCCGGCGCGCGAAAACGCGCTGGACCAGGAGTGAAGATCACACATGGATCACGCTGTCGCATTTGATCCCCACACAATGTAACGCCATGACGTTTGTGAGTGGCGACCTGCAGGTCATGGCAGGCAGCCGTCGACATCCTCCCGCAGGTGCTTGAGAGGCAATCGCGCACTTGACGCAGTGCCAGGTCTGACAACTTGCTAGGAATTTCCGTGTCTGATTGCACACGGACATCCAATATCGCAGCAAGACAATAGTGATCACATGTAGATTCCTGCGTGCAAGAGGACTGGTAAAAATGAAGACATACTTCCCTTTCACCATTTAAGATGGGAGACCACCTTACCCGACAATGATAAGCCTAACGTGGCATGCAATTTGAAGACGTCGCATGCCCAACCGACCGTTGTCTTGCATGCCAGATTATACTAGGGCATATGACCTATCACAAACCGGTTGGTTCACTCCCACACATGATCCATGGAACAGGTTGCCTCCTACTACCCCAAGAGACAAATCAAGACTCCCCGCGAGGCGTCAATAGCCTACAACAGGCCCGCTTCGCAGGCCGCCGCGGCAGCTGGCAGCCGCGTGCAGGCGCGGGCCGCGCCCGGGCCCGGAGCGCCACTGACCGTTGTCCAGCGGCACTCCCAGCTGACTGAGCGCCACCTCGGCGGCAAGCAGGCGCGCCTCCTCCGGGTTCAGGCTCAGCCGGCTGCCCTGGAAGGTGTTGTACTCGGGCGGCAGGCTGGGCACGGTGACCTGTGTGGAGGCGGGGCCGGTCAGAGGAGCGCCGGCGGACCGACGGCGCTCGCCGGCTCGTGACGGCCGCCGGGCGGACCGGACTGTCTGGCGGGGGTCAGACCAGGACCAGGCCGACTGGCGGCGAGGATCGAAAGACAAGAGACAGAAGTACCGACACAACGGGGAGAGGTAACGACAGACAGAAGAAGAGATACGGACAGACCGGCGGTGAGGTACAGACAGACCAGCGGCGAGATACGAACAGACCGGTGGTGAGGTACGGACAGACCAGCGGCGAGGAACGAACAAACCGGCGGCGAGGTTCGAACAGACTGGTCGTGAGGTACAGACAGACCAGCGGCGAGGTACGAACAGACCAGCGGCGAGGTTCGAACAGACCGTTGGTGAGGTACGGACAGACCAGCGACGAGGTACGAACAGACCGGCGGCGAGGTTCGAACAGACCGGTGGTGCTGTACAGACAGACCGGCGGCGAGGTACGGACAGACCGGTGGCGAGGTACGGACACACCGGTGGTGAGGTACGGACAGACCGGTGGCGAGGTACGGGTACGAACAGACCGGTGGCGAGGTACGAACAGACTGGTGGGGGGGACGGACAGATGGGAGCCCATCACGGGGCACTAGGAGCGTCTCCGTCAAACATCGACACGCAAGGCCGCGATGAGTCCGACACGATAGACAGTCACACATGCCGTGTGGAATGCCCAGCCTATATCATGTACGGCCGCTTCGCCGCAGTGTATGGGTGTAAGCCGCATCTCGGAGGATCTGGAAACCACAGGGACTCCCACTGAGGCTGGTGTCCCCTCACCGCGCGGAGCTGAACTGACCTTGTACATGAACAGCTGGATGGGAGGGTCGGCCTGGCCCGTCGTCTTGGTGGTCGAGTGCAGCTGGTACTGTGGTTCGCCCCACTTGTTGTTAATGCACAGATCGTGCAGAATCTGGCCACGAAGAGCAGCACGATAAGCTCAGTAAGCCGACGGCAGTTGGAGCAAGGCTATACGCGGGTGCGGCCAGTGCGAGTGCGCGATTACACTCGAGTGGCGGGCGGCATGGTGGCAATTCACGCCGCAGACGATTCGGTGTTTGTGAGCTAACGTAGAACGTACGAACATTGTGCACGACACATAGCCCAACGTGACGGCATCGCTGACGACTTGATGAATCGCTCTGAAAAGGGCATTCGGCGCCGAACAAAGTAACTTGCAGACGATTGGAACAGCGAGAGTGGGTGCTTTGCTTCAAGACCTTCAAGACAATCTGACAAAACATGACCCGTCCCAAAGCGAAATACCGTCGAGAAACTTACTGTATTGCTCTCATTTGACAATTGAAAGCAAATGATGAAAGCGAATTGCAAGAAATTATCGCCTTCAGCGAACTGACACGAATGAGCACAGCACAATAGCTTTATGGTAGGGTGGATGCCAAAATGGTACTATTGTGAGTTACGCCGAAAACGAAAACAGCGAAACCAAACCAGGCATAGCAAACAGCACAGACATCGAGTGCGGATCAACGCGTCGCTAACGCTGCCAAAGGCGGGCACGAATTCTGCCAAACGATAATGCGAAGCTCGTGACCATGCAGCTGGACGGAGACAACACAGCGGTGGTGGCAGCTGCCCTCGATGGCAGCCCTGCCCGGCGCCGTCCACCAGACCGTAAAGCTGTACGGAGACAACACAGCGGTGGTGGCAGCTGCCCTCGATGGCAGCCCTGCCCGGTGCCGTCCACCAGACCGTTAAGCTGTACGGAGACAACACAGCGATGGTGGCAGCTGCCCACGATGGCAGCTCTGCCCAGCAGAGGACGCACACAACCGCACCGTAAAGCTGGACGGGACAACACAGTAATGGTGGCAGCCGCCCTTGGAGACAACTCTGCCTGGCAGAGGCGACAGCTCTGCCGACCGCACCGTAAAGTGCCTCACTGAAAGGCGCCTGTCGCAGAGGAAAGGCTGACGACACAGCGCGGCAAGGCCCCGAACGACCCAACAACGAGGCACCGGGGACAGACGGGTCGGAAGACAGCGCCGAGGTCGGTGACCCCAGCCGGGCTCAGCAGCCTGCCGTCCAGCCGAGCCCATCAGCCTGCCGTCCAAGCCGAGGCCAGCCAAAGGATCGCGGCGTAACAACCAGGACAGACAGGCTCGGCACGTCTGCTCAGGCAAGCGCCAGACGACACTGAGCTCCAGCGACATCCGCCCGGCGGCGTGGCCGACGAGAGAACCGGGTAGCAGACACGACAGCATGAGCAGGAGCCCAGCAGGAGCAGAAGCCGAGGAGGGCAGCCAGCGCCACACCACCCCGCCCGGCGAGTATGGACGCCCACGAGCCCGCGTCACTACCTGTACCGCATTCCGCATGGGTTTCAGTGTGCACGGGTTAGTGAGCACGAGCTCGAGGTCAGGTGAGAAGTCCAGCAGAGCACGCATCTGAAACCAGCCGCCGCCAGCACTGTCAGCCTGCGGCGAAGACGCTCCTGCTGGCGAGCACGCCCTCGGGAGCCGAGCTCCGCTGGTGGCTGATGCAGCCGCCGCTCGCGTGTGGCCGATCCGAAACAGTACAGAAGGCACGCTTGATGAAATTCCGCGGAGTAATCACATGATTTTGTGGCGGAGGGGGCCTATGACCTTTCAGCAAAGGTGCAGTGAGGAATTGGAACCGCTGTGGCCCTTACACTCCATTTCAGTACTTTAATTTGCAAGTGGTATGTGGCTACAAACGAATAAATAAAGCGCGAACGAGCTGAAGATCCAGGATTAACTTTTTTGACAGCCAAGAATACAGTTCGGAAAATACCGTTAAAACGGGGCACACGGCGCAGTAGTACAGGGTGCCCAAAGACACCCTAGGTGAACATAACACGGAGGCCGGCGCCGCGGACGAGGCGTCGCTTACCTCCACGGGCTTCCTGTGGCCAACGGCGGCACGGCCGGCCGCCGGCGAGCCGGGCAGGAACGCCCTGCCGCGCACGCCAGCCGCGCCCCGTCCCCGCTGCTTGTTGGGCGAGCGGAACACCGGTTGGACAGGTGACCTGCCGACAGCAGCGCCACCTGGTCAGAGCAGGCCACTCGGACGGCCAGCAGGATCTCGCCGAGGGGGCTTACAGGATCTCGCCGAGGGGGCTTGCAGGGGCTCGCCGAGGAGGCTTACAGGGGCTCGCCGAGGAGGCTTACGGGAACTGTAACGGGGAATTATGCATCGCTTACACGCCGCATGCTTCTAGTGACGGTGTGTGGTAGTTGGACCGGTGCACCTGAACCAAAAGGAATGGTGTTCCATGCGTTTAACCAGTCTATCAGATATCCTTTAATGAGATTAAAGCAATTTTATAACCTCTGCCTAGCCTTGTATTTGTCAGCTGAGTTCTAAGCCAATACAGTGAAAACATCCCGCCATTGACCTGAGTTTTGAAGACGGGCTATCCCAACACTACCTGTGAAGTCTTTACGCTCTTACTGGCATATACCAGTCGCCGGTTCGTGATATAATATATAATGGGCATAAGGGGCTTACGCATAATTTTAGGATATGACCCCGGCGAACCTTAGGAGTTACCCACAATGATGAATTTTAGATATAACCGCTCCAAGCCTTCAAAGCAATGTGTGAAAGCAGTGAAGTGAAGACAGAACGCAATGGGCAGGTAAATATGCTGCGACTGCAGCATCCCGCTACGAATGGCCAGTGTTACGACCTTTCACGTTTTAGCCATGCGGAACTTTGAGAACGCGGCCAAACGTCAGTAAGGTGACAGTCATGGAGCTGACCGTTTCAGGTGGAGTATAAAAGGTTCGATACTGCGTTAGCCCACGTGTCATCACGATGCGTCCGAGCCGCCTGTCACTACGGTGTACCGCGCAGGTCGGAAGATGAGATCGAAAACCAGGGGTTCTACCAGCATATCGTTAGGATGCGCTGAGCGACTCAAAAGGTGAATTCGAAACCAAGGCGCTGCACCTCCCTCCACTGCCTCCTCCTCCCTTTCCTCCTAACTCTGAACTCCACCACTGAAAGATTTCGCCAGGGCATCGCACAGGCACGTACCCGGGGCTGCCGAGTCCCGGTGACAGACTGAAGAAGGGCGCCTCGGAGACGAAGCCGTGTGGCGCGGTCGGGTACACCGCGCAGTGGGCCGCCGCCTTGTACCGGTCGTGTCGCGACTTGTCGATCGGCTTGGCCCACGTGACCTCCACCAACGAGCCGTCCAGGTCCGTGTCTGGGGACAGGCCGCTGGTGACAGCGCGAGAGACAACAGCGGGTGACACCCGGCCGTCCAGATCCGTGTCTGGGGACAGGCCGCTGGTGACAGCGCGGGAGACAACAGTGGGTGACACCGGGCCGTCCAGATCCGTGTCTGGGGACAGGCCGCTGGTGACAGCGCTGCAAACAACAGTAGGTGAAACCGAGCCGTCCGGGTCCGCGTCTGGGGACAGAACGCTGGCGACAGCACTGGTGACGACAGGGCGCTGGTGACAGCGCGGGAAACAACGGTGGGTGACACCGGGCCGTCTCGGTCCGTGTCTGGGGACAGGCCGCTGGTGACAGCCCTGGTGATGACAGGCCGCTGGTAACGACAGGTTCCGTGGACAGGAACGACAGGTTCCGTGGATAGGGAGCAGCGGTGGACAATGAACGGCACCTGACACGCGCTTCTGCTCCGGGCCGGTCCGTGTCTGAGAGCGAACGCACACTGATCACGTGAGCACATACACATGGAAACAGTGAAGTGGGCGGATGTACGGCTAGGACAAACCAACATACAACATGACACATGACAGTCAGTGACAGCGACGATCGCACGGCATAACCAGCTGAGCATTTCCGCTCACGGAAACTAACAGCCATCTGCGATCACGCAGCGCCAGCCGAGGCCAGCCTTGAGGGAAGATGGTCTTTTGACTGATATGCCCGGATTAGGCGGCCAGAGCCGCTATCGCGGGCAAGGTTCAGCCGGCAGATAAGGCGGCATCATGCGCGCCCAGCCAGTGCCGTCTCGTGATCTGAGCACAGACAGCTGACGGCGCCATGATCTCCCAAACGCCGCACCAGAACTTGACTCGGCTAGCTGTCTCAATTGGCCGTGTTGAGAATTTAACAGCATCGACTGCACCATAGCGTGACAGCTGGCCGGCGACCGGTAGTCCGGATCGTGCGGTCAACAGCAGGGACGCCGCACCATGCTGACGTCAGAGGGAGAAAAGGTGGTTCAAATGTGACCGTCAGGCACACATTAGATGAAGGAGAGACTCAACACGTCACTGACACCCCGGCATGTGGTCAATCTCGAGTCAGTCGCCGAGATGCAGCTAGCATACGCAGCTCAAAATTGAGACAGATTTCGTCCAGAAATAATCGTTTATCATCTTCCATCACTTCTATCGTTATTAATGGCGAATAGCTTAAAACGGTGCAACTAATGAGAAAAGATCCCTGCCATTTGCACATGGTACCAATTCAGCGTGAATTCACGCTTTGCTTTCAGACATGAGCATGGATCCCAGGGTGGGTCCGGGATCCCGTTGGGCTCTGATAATGGGATCCTGGGATCGGATCCATGGATTCTTTGGGGGGGCGGGGGTCTGTGCACATATCCGTTTGCTAAATTTGACGTGAAAATATGAATGCCTGAGTGTCTGCCAACGCTGAGTGAAAAGCTGACCGAACCAGGCGTGTGTACGTTGCACCTTGCCAATGACTGGGAGGAGCCGGCGGGTTTTTTAGGTCAGCCGATGACTGGACCCTGGGGAGGGGTGCGATACCAGGCGATCGCGCCAGCGCTCTCACCCCATTTCCCGTTGGAGACCCCAGACGTTATCGAAACAATACGTGGCGCCGGCCAACCAGCCGCCGTCGCTGTGGAGACCATGCAAACTGATACGGACATGCCAGCAGCTGCGGGTAATGACCGGCGGAAGGTACAGTGCCGGCAGCACCCCAGCGTCCAGTTATATGTATGTATGTATGTATGAATGCATGTATGTATGTATGTATGTATGCATGTATGTATGTATGTATGTATGTATGTATGCATGTATGTATGTATGTACGTATATATATATATATATATATATATATATATATATATATATATATATAATGGGAAATTCATTGACATCTTGTGATTATAAAATTCAAACACCGTACATCAGACTCGTGGTTGTCTTCGTTTTAGAGGATGCCAGCAATTCCAACTTGTATAGGCGCAGGGGGTTGATTCAGACCCATTTTCCAAGTGGCAAAGCATGTGTTTTTTAGTTCACCTCGATTTTGCGTCCGGTAGTAAGTGGCGTGGTATTTTACAAAGGTCTGATCTTTTCTCGCCAGTGCACAGCGCATTGTCGAGGTAAGAGAAGTGAATGAAAAATACGATGTATTGCATTGTATTGCATGAATTGTTCGTCTCGCAAATGTGCTGGACATGAAGCATGGCACATAAACAGCTCCATCCAACATTCCTTAGGGCTCCATCGAGGAAAGTCACAACGTTGCATGACACTACCCTGGGTACATGTTCTTGGCATCAGCACCCAATGCACAGGTCTCATATTGGGAGATTTGGTTCAATTGGCTGTAGTGTAAGTGTTGTGTAGTGGAAGTGTTGTAGGCTTCATAAAAAACCTATGAAGGATATGCATTTTATCATACAGGAATACAGATATGCAGTGTTCCATTTGCTGCGCATATGAGCTACCCGGATGAGAAAATGTGTCGTAATGTTTATGCTCAAGTCGAATTAGAACCAATAACTTCAAGTCCATATCAGCCCATCTATATATATGGGCTGACGATCTAATATATATATAGCAAACAGATATGTGCCTGGAGCCCCATCCTCCAAAGAAAAAAAGATATATTAGCCCATATAAATCATACCCATATCTGGCATTTCCGTCAACTTACAGTCAATCAGTTCAGCCGGTAAGGCAAACCAAATTTGGATTCCCAACGGTACGAGCCGCGAGTGGAATCGACTTCACTTTGACTCAACACAAATTGCCTTGCACGCGGCATCAATTCCCAATCCAGACAGTCAAGCATTATCTGCCAAAATTTATCACAGAAATATACACAAACACAAGCGCGCACACACACAGATGCAGACGCGTGCGGGGCACTCACGGTCGAGTTTCTCCTGGGCGCGGGTGGCCTTGTCCCTGCTGGCGAAGTGGACGAAGGCGAAGTCGCGCAGTTTCTTGACGCGCTCCACGCCGCCGTCTGCGGCGCGACTGAAGGCGTCCCGAATCTGGTCTTCGGTTGTGGACAGCAGCAGGTTCCGGACGTACAGCACCGTCACCTGCGCCAGCCGCGCAGCACCGGCCGCCGTCAGCTGACGCAAGCCCGGTCCGAGCGCAGACACCGTGACACGCGGGTAGCCGGGGTACAGAGACTGTGACACGGGGGTAGCCCGGACACAGACACCGTGACACGGGGGTAGCCGGGGTACAGAAACTGTGACAGGGGGTAGCCGGGACACAGACACCGTGACACGGTGAAGCCCGGGCACAGACACCGTGACACGATGGAGCCGGGACACGGACACCGTGACACGGTAGGAGCCGGGTACAGACGCCGTGATACGGGAGTAGCCGGGACAAAGACACCGTGACACGGTAGAGCCGGGTACAGAAGCCGTGATACGGGAGTAGCCGGGGCAAAGACACCGTGATACGGTAGAGCCGGGTACAGAAGCCGTGATACGGGAGTAGCCGGGGCAAAGACACCGTGATACGGTAGAGCCGAGTACAGTACAGACGCCGTGATACGGGAGTAGCCGGGACAAAGACATCATGCCACAGTGGAGCCGGGTACAGACGCCGTGATACGGGAGTAGCCGGGACAAAGACATCGTGACACGGTAGAGCCGGGAACAGAAGCCGTGATACGGGAGTAGCCGGGACAAGGACACCGTGATACGGTAGAGCCGAGGACAGTACAGACGCCGTGACACGGGGGTAGCCGGGACACAGACACCATGAAAACGTAGTAGCCGGGGTACAGACACCGTGACACGGTGGAGCCAGGACACAGACACCGTGACACGGTGCAGCCGGGACCCAGACACCGTGTCAAGTTGGTAACTGGGACACAGCCACCGTGACACGGGGGTAGCCGGACCCAAGACAACGTGACACGGGGATAGCCGGAACACAGACACCGTGACAAGGTGGTAACCGGGACACAGACACTGTGGAGCCGGGCCACAAACACCGTGACACAGCAAAACCGGGACATAAACACCTTGACACGGTGGAGACGGAACACAGACAACGGGAAATGTGGTACAATGGTGCGGCGGAAGCCGGGGCAGACACCGGGACACACTGAGAACCGAAGCACAGACACAAGCCTACTGTGAGAACTACCTGTGTCGCTACCCGAGCGCTTGCACGACACGTCAGCACATGGCATGCACGTCAAAAACATCTAGGTATGATAGAGCACAATGGTGGGACGCATGCTACCGGCCGCAATAACTTGGCGTCGTGAGGTGACCTATGCTTTGAGCGAAACATTTCTTTCCTTGGTTTCGGGAGACCTGCCACGGTCACGGTCAGCCGTTCCCAGTGAGACGCTTTATCAACGACAGTATGTTCTCTTGTGACGCATGGAACATGGCATTCTCTTTGCTTTGATCTCGCGGTTTTTTGCGACCAAAAAGCTCGCACTAAAATTCCCCGAGTTTTCACATGCCTTGTTTAATAACTGGATGAATCGTGCACGTCATACATGAAAAGGACAAAAGGTGCCTTCAGTCAAGAGACCATCTACGTGCTCCTTTCTCCTGAAAGTCCGCAGGTGCGGCATGTTCTTCTCAAGCTCGGACGGAGAGCTCGCGTGGCTTCGTGTGCCTCGCCACAGCGGCCGGGCGGCACCGTCACAGCGGCCAGACGGCACCGCTCCATGAGCCTCGCCACAGTGGCTGGGCGGCACCGCTCCGTGAGCCTCGCTACAGCGGCCAGGCGGCACCGCTCCGTGAGCCTCGCCACAGTGGCCGGCACCGTTCCGTGAGCCCCGCTACAGCGGCCAGGCGGCACCGCTCCGTGAGCCTCGCCACAGTGGCCGGCACCGTTCCGTGAGCCTCGCTACAGCGGCCAGGCGGCACCGCTCCGTGAGCCTCGCCACAGTGGCCGGCACCGTTCCGTGAGCCTCGCTACAGCGGCCAGGCGGCACCGCTCCGTGAGCCTCGCCACAGTGGCCGGCACCGCTCCGTGAGCCTCGCTACAGCGGCCAGGCGGCACCGCTCCGTGAGCCTCGCCACAGTGGCCGGCACCGTTCCGTGAGCCTCGCTGCAGCGGCCAGACGGCACCGCTCCATGAGCCTCGCCGCAGTGGCTGGGCGGCACCGCTCCGTGAGCCTCGCTACAGCGGCCAGGCGGCACCGCTCCACGAGCCTCGCCACAGTGGCCGGCACCGCTCCGTGAGCCTCGCTACAGCGGCCAGGCGGCACCGCTCCGTGAGCCTCGCCACAGTGGCCGGCACCGTTCCGTGAGCCTCGCTACAGCGGCCATGCGGCACCGCTCCGTGAGCCTCGCCACAGTGGCTGGGCGGCACCGCTCCGTGAGCCTCGCTACAGCGGCCAGGCGGCACCGCTCCACGAGTCTCGCCACAGTGGCCGGCACCGCTCCGTGAGCCTCGCTACAGCGGCCAGGCGGCACCGCTCCGTGAGCCTCGCCACAGTGGCCGGCACCGTTCCATGAGCCTCGCTACAGCGGCCGGGCGGCACCGCTCCGTGAGCCTCGCCACAGTGGCCGGCACCGTTCCATGAGCCTCGCTACAGCGGCCGGGCGGCACCGCTCCACGAGCCTCGCCACAGTGGCCGGCACCGCTCCGTGAGCCTCGCTACAGCGCCCGGGCGGCACCGCTCCGTGAGCCTCGCCACAGCGGCCGGCACCGCTCCACGAGTCTCGCCACAGTGGCCGGCACCGCTCCGTGAGCCTCGATACAGCGGCCAGGCGGCACCGCTCCATGAGCCTCGCTACAGCGGCCGGGCGGCACCGCTCCACGAGCCTCGCTACAGCGGCCGGGCGGCACCGCTTCGTGAGCCTTGTCACAGTGGCAGCACCGCTCCGTGAGCCTTGTCACGGCGGCCGAACGGTGCCGCTCTCGGAGGCGGCTCGGCCGCCGGTGTCCTGGGCCGGACGTCCGCCGCGCCGGTCACACATGCCCACTCGGACGACCGACCGGCGGGGGGGGGGGGGGGGCAAGGGCGACCTGCACTATCGCGGTGCACCGGCTCGGCGGCACCGCACCGGCTAGCCGACCTGTGCACGCTGAGTCAAGGGATGAGTCACGGCTCAAGAGTCACGGCCGCTGATATCGTGGCTGGTTGGGCGGCCTCTGCTGCGTTGAGGGGTCTCCAGGTTAGCATTGGTGCATGTCGCTAATGACGCCTGTTGCGACAACCACCTGGCTGCGGAGCTCGACCGTGCGATCAAAGCCATAGACCTGTGGGGTTGCCCGTTGTTGAGATTCTAGCGAGGGCTGGGCCGGGCAGCACACAGCAGCGGGGTGTACAGCAAATGTCCGCTGTCTCCCAACAAATGCCCGCGGATTGCTGAGTTTTCCACCGCGATCCTCCAGTAACATGGCGTGCAGCTCAGTTCGCACTAACGCCACTGACTTTCTGTCTCGAGCGATGGTTTTCCTCTCCGGTTCCGTCATTCAGTTACCCGGACTGCGAAGGTTCAATCCTCTCGTCAACTGACAACGAGAGCCAACCCGATTCCATACCCCGAGTTCGCTGCCTGTCTAGACCTCCACCCGAGTTCGCTGCCTGTCTAGACCTCCACCCGACCCGGTCGGACGGAGCAATGCCTCAGTGTAGCCTCCCTTGTGTCACACAAACCAACACTGGAAAACGGAGCAGATACGCTGACCTCCAGCTGGCGTCCGTCCCGCTGTTCGGCCGCCGCCGGCGAACATGATCCGCCATCCCCGCGACCGACACCCGACCGCGGCCAGAGCAGCCACAGGCCCTGGGACGTCCCGCGAGCGGCGCGCCTCCCCCGCCCCGCCCCGCCCCGCCCTGCCCGTCATGCGAGCCACGCTCGGCCACTAAACGCGCCACCACGCATCGACACAGCGGCAGAAGGCTTTTATTTTATGTTAAATAACTTATGTCTGGTGGTGCACAATTGCTTTTTAAGTGGTTGACGAATATTCGAAATCTGACATTTTAGGAAATGCATTTATTTCACATTACGAGTGCAAGCGGGTTGGAATGTGAGGAAATGCGTTTCTTTCACCTCATCACAACCACATCTGTTGTAGGATCCTTCGGAATCTTGGATTAAGGGCATAGCCTGCATACCCATTTGTCACCATTCGTTCCAAATTTTGTTTGAGATGCTGCAAGATTTGTCTTTCGTTTTTGTTTTGTGTGCTCACCAGCCTCGGATACTGACATCACAACTATAATCCGGATGCACGAGCATGCCAGGGACAGCACGCGTCCGGGGGGAGGGGGGATGGGCGGGACAGCTTGGGACGCGCCGATTTTCAGGTCGCACCTGACGTCGCTGAAAACCTGATCGGCGGCCGATTAGATATGGCGTGGCCGGGACAAGTGGCCGTCAGCCGCCGCAGCCGCCGCGGACGCCGCCGCCGCCGCCGGGACCACGGGACGCCGGCGGACGGCCGCACACGACACCGCCGCCGACACCGATCACTGCATAGGCGCCAGCACCCCGCTGCTGTACCCCACGGCAGCTTCCACTGCCTCTCCCACTCCAGACTCGTGCTCGACCTCCGTTTGACAGGGTCGACTCTGACCCCGGCTCAAGGCATGCAGTTGATTTTGACTGAATACCACGGATGTTCACAAGTTGGAGATGACTACACTCTTGCTCCAGTTGCCTAAAAGTTATTTGAGTTGGCTGACTTTGATTCGAGCAAATTGCACCTAATGACAGAAATCGGCTCCCGGAAGTTGATTCCAGTTGCTTACATGCAAGGCTTGCTCCCATAAATCACCTTTCACGTTGTTCAGCACATAATTTACGCAGTTAGACTCCATTAAAAGCAACTATAAATATAGCCGTCGTCAGCCAATGGCGTTGCCTGCAACATGATTTAGTACCACAGCTGAGTCAACTTGACTCCGATTGCAGTTTTCAAAGTAAACTTGAACCTGACTCAGAGCGACATTTTAACAGACTCCGAAATCGAAAAAAATAGACTCTGCCGAGTCGAGCACACGTTTGCCACGCCTTATTTCCCGCGTTAAAATCTCCGCACCAGCGGAAGGGTCGCCCAGTCGCCCTCGCACGCCTTCCTTACAAGACAATGGTTCGGCATCGCCTGCAAGGCGTAGCTTTCGCAAAGCTGTCCCGCGAGCGCATGCAGATGAAATGTCCATGTCATGGGGGATTCATGACGCACTCAGCTGCTGAGGCTTCATGGCGTCGCCTGCCTCTTACCGTCGCAGAAAGAGCGGACACCGCGGGGAACCGAACCCCGGATCTCTGGTTTCCCAGACGCGCAGTAGGTTCACGCAGATGCGTCAACCATTACGCCATCGGCACCCCGTGACGGCGAAGTGAGGGCCGCTGCGGTTTTTGTTGGTTTGCTTAGAGGAACGCGACGTATAAAGCCGCTAGCCCTTCTATGGAACGCAGCGACAGTCCGCCACTGTGGCCCGCGGCACAGCCGTGATTAGGCCACAAACATTGGCCGCCACGCCAAGGCGACCCGTGACAGCGACAGTCCGCCACTGTGGCCCGCGGCACAGCCGTGATTAGGCCCCAAACATTGGCCGCCACGCCAAGGCGACCCGTGAACCGGACATGACGGATAAAGTACTTGTGTAACACCGAGAATCCCCGAAACTTAAGAAATACGCAAGCCACAAGTAACGCAAAGGGGCAGGGGGGGGGGGGAACAACGAACATCGCAAAATTAAGGTCAGATTCAATTCAGCCATCGATCGGTTCAAACGCTCGTTATGTTCGCAGACCACTTTCCTTGTAAGCCAGACGACACAAACATAAGCGGATTTACCGGACTAATCCGCCCTAACCGTCGTCGGCCAAATAACGCAAAGAAACAGTTGCGACACAGCCCATCTAGTTACATGTTTCAATATGGTCTTGCAATGCCACAAATAAAAGGCTGTAGTTAATCGCGTAGAGGTTTGTTATGTAGCTGTGCATAACCGCGTTGATGTTTGTTGTTTAACTACGCGAAGGTGTTGATACGGATAGCATTAAGTCAACCCGTCTAAGGAATATGTCGGCAATGAAATCAGAAAATGTCAATAACAAGTCAAGACAATGATCGATGCATCCAAGACTACGAATTAAAACACAAAGCTATCGTAGCTTGGTGGTCAGAACATGTAACTGCAAGATATAACACACCAAAGGTTGCGTAGTGATCATTTCAGTCTGATCATACGATCATTCATTTTGATACTTTTCTCAACTGGAATCAGCGGAGTGCGGCGTAACATGCTGAATATCGGTGTTTAGACGCCAGCACGCCCCACAAAGCTGGGTTTGGAGGATGAAGTGACGATATTACTTCAATACCTCATTTAAGCAATAGTAGTGTTCAAGAATCGAAACAAAATGTGACCAAGAACTCGGGCCGGACGAACCAAACGCCCAAACACCCGCGCACTAGAGGGTGTTCAACATTTATACGGGTTTAGACCTAAAAAATCCAAATTGAAGACCTTCCGGTGCTGTTCACAATTCTGCCTTTATTTAGAAGCCAGGCCCCTCTAGTTTCTGACCCACACGATCGCGGAAATGGGGAAAGGTATATCGGGGAGAGAATTTCAAAATAACCTTGGCATTCTTGACGTTATAACAATGCCATTCGAATCCTGACATTCAACAATAATGCGCGATCAAGGCAAAGAAAGATAGGTTTGTGGAGGCGTTCATATCTGGCGTTGGTGAGTGCAATTTCCAGATAAAACAACCGTTAACTGGCTCTAAATCAATGTCATGCAAGGTACGATGATGTCATCAAACCATGACGTATTGAGGGGCATATTTACTTAGCAGACAGTTGTGTTGTTAACAGCAGCCCTTTCCACTTACAAAGCATACCATTAGTTGTAAGTGAGCTTATATCTGATGCTTGCTTTAATATCTTCAAGCGTGAAACATTCCCTTTAAATGTTATGCGATCATTTGTCCGGTGCAGATACGCTTCATACAGACGTGACTCATAGCTGGAGCAGCCTTCGACCCCAGCACAGCGCCCCACCCGACTCCGCCGTCGTCGCAGCGTGCCGCGGCGCGGCTGACTCACCTTGGACATGGTCTCCTCATCGACGTCCGGCTCGGGCTCAGCCCAATCGACGGCGATCGTCTGCCCCCACAGCTGGATGCGGCCCGGGATGAGCTTGCGGCGTGCCATCGCCGCCGCCTTGTGGTTCTTGTACTCGACGAACGCGAAGCCTCGCGACTTGCTCTTGTCGGTCACCGAGCTGTACACGATCACGTCCACCACGCCCTCAGTCACCTTCGCCATCTCGTCGAAGATCTCGTCTCTGACCTTGTTCTTGGGCAGGCCACCCACGAACAGGCGGCAGTTGTCCACCGACTTGACCACGCCAATGTAGCGACCCTTGCGGATCTCGTAGTTGTTGAGCCGGCGCACGGCCGCGCTCGCCTCCGAAGGCGTGCTGAACATGACGAAGGCGTAGCCGCGGTTTGAGCCGCTAAAGTCCATCATCAGCCGCACCTCGTAGATTTTGCCGACCGTCTCGAAGACGGGCGCCAGCTCGTCTTCGAACAGGTCGCGCGGAATCTTGCCCACGAACACCTCGCTGCCCTTGACGGGCGGCGGGCCCGTCCAGTTGGGCGGTGGCCCGCCGTACTTGCGCTGGCCGTTTTCCTGGATGATGTTGTAGCCAGTGCGCTCCATCAGCTTGAGCAGCGCGATGTCGTTGGTCTTGGCGGCGGTGCGGTTCTCGGGACGCCCCGCCGGCGCCGGCTCGGCGCGCTCCGTGTCCGGCATGCCTGCAACAGGTGCGTTGTCCTGGTGATGG